GTTTTGATATGCCTTTTTTTCCCACAAGGTAAATTTTTCTCCTGAAATTTTAGCCAGAAGACCCACAGATTTAGAAGAACAGAACTATGGAAAGTAGAATATAGGATTAGTAAAGAGTTGTCACCTAATACAAGTTGAACACATTTGTTTCAGACTGCTTTAATACTTGCATGCTTGATTAAACAGTTAAACATGCTTTGATTAAACGCAAATATATGTCCAGTACCACTCCCATGATATCTATCTTTTTTTGCATTTATTTTTGTCTACTTGTTTTTTTATCCTATGATGCAGAGATTTGCTGTAGGTAGGTACCAGAGCAGACAGCGTCAGATAGAGCAAGTTGACCAGTCCAAAGTCGTCGTGATATGATAGGAAGTTCCCAACTGTTACAATCTGAAGAGGGGAGAAAATTAATCACAGGAATTAATTCCTGAGTGAGAAAACTGTTTCTGCAAAATATAACTGATAAATATTTAATTGATAATTTCTTTGCTTGTGTCCAGTGCCCTTTCTGGTGTTGAGCCATTCACAATGCTGAACTCAAAGCCTTGTGACTGATTTTCTTCAAAAGATTCCTAGAGCCTCGCAAAATGTGAGAAACCTTAACTTCTCTGAGTATGGCAGCTCTTTTAGTACTATCTAAGAAGTTAGTGATTTGTTTCCTTTGCCTCCAGTCCCAGAAACGTCAAACCTAAGTTAAAAAGCAAAACCCCCATAAAACTTGAAGGTACTTAAACTGCTGCAATTTACTCCCATATCAGGTCATGTTAGTTAAGTTCTCACCAGCATCCTGAAGTGGAATTTAGGTTTGCGGGTCTCTGAGTCTGTCTAACCAGGGTGCTTGCAGGATAAGAATAGACAATGGTTATGAATGAAAAATAACAAGAGAATGAAATTTATGTATAAATGTCTGTGTGTGTTGTTCACCCTCTTTTTCTGATCCATTTCTCTTCTGGGTCTCAGTTAAGTACAGCCCATTTGGATTCAATGTGATGCAAATTGCACTCATTTAAGAAAAAGCCAGTTCATGGGGCTCTGGTTTTTAGTTATCTACTGGGTGCTTAAATATGTAAGATACAGTGGAGTTACAATTCATTAGAATTGTTTATAGCGTCTTCCCATTAAGAATCTAGTAGCTGAAGTTGTACGTGCTTAGTTAAAGGATCATGTGTTCTGTGGGTAGAGTTAAGAACATGTATTATTCAGTGGAAGGCGTTAATACTGAAAATACCTACTTCTGAGAGTGGTATTATCACAGCTTGATCTCAGAAGGTAAGCATCAGCGAAAAAAAAAAAGCAAGCTTATCAAAACATGCATGCTCTATCACGTATCAACTTTGAAGGCAGTACAGTTTGAAATGAGACTTTTGCAAAGCTCTGCTGTGGTAATGGCTTTTGTGGAGGAAAGTCAAGCCTTATAAATGCATGAGAAGTTCCTTGAAAGTGACCACATGTGTGTGGCTTGTGTCTCTCTAGTTAGCATAGTGAAAGATGTTTTCCCGAGGTAGGAAACATGGGTTGAATTCTGTGATTTTTTTTTTTTATTTAGTTTCTGCAGGAACAATGAAGACAATTACTGAGTGAATTGGGGAACCTGTGTACCAAGAGATCTGGAAGGAAAAGACTCAATAGTGTTTTTCCTCCTCGTGCATATAGAGTTTTGACTTCTATACAATAAGAATAGAAGAGTTATTTCACTCGGACACTTTATATTAGCATGTACAGGCATGCAGTATAGGAGGAGACAATGAAACAGAAATGAACATGCATTTGAAGATAACTTTTTTAATATTGTCTGCCAAAAAGCACGTAATCTTTTCACAAAGAGGAAATAAAACACTTTTCTGAGAGCATCAATCTAAAGGAAAAACAGTTCATGGTGGTGAGCTAGTTGCTGAGGCTAGTTAAAGCAGAAAATGCTGTGTCCCTGGGTTATGTCAAATGGATTTCATTATGACTTGAGAGAGAAATTACTTTTTAAATTATTACTCTTCAGTTAAATGATGTGTATGTGGATTTTTTTATTATTATTATTATTCCTTGGGATGCATTACAAAATGGGGTTAAAATACTGGAAAACTTGTGACATAGTTCATCCAATTTTATGGTTTTAAAAATAATAGCTTAAGGCAGACTAAAAATATCTTCATCTACTTATTTAGCAAAGGCAACTTCATCCTCTTTTAAGCTCTATTTTTATAGCGTACAGGAGCGCACTGTGAGTATCTCTAATACTTGAGATCAAATAGATTTTCTATATTTTTATGTTCGTGGCCTGTATATGTCACTTCTTAATGTTTGGTTTCTTTAGAAAGTTTATTTTCCTGGCAGAAAACTGATAAAATGGGTAAAGGGTGAGAATGCAGAATACTCCCCCCCCGCCCTGAGCGATATGAGGGTGTTTATGTAACTGAATAACAATACAGGACTCGTATAGACTAAGTGCAGGGTTTTTTAAAGCCTGTAATGCCACAGGATCACTGCAGTGTTAAGCAATATTTTACTAGATTGGAAAGAAATACAGTATAAGCTTCATAGGGGTTTACGGTTTTGTGACTAAGTTATTTTGATAATAAGGATGGAAACCTGTATGAACTGTTGCTTAAATGATTTTAAAGCTTTTTAAAAAGCAAGTCCTTTGACCACATTAAGACCATGTTTTAACCTTTAAAACTTAGATGACCCCCCTGGCTACTCAAGCTTTCTTTTACATTTCTTCAGTACTCCATATTGATTGTGATTATTTTGGTACTATGAGGCTTCCTTATACGCTGGAGTATTTTAGTGGGGGGAAAGGACAAACTGGGTCATGAAATGAGCCTCCAGTTGGTTGTTCGTACCACCTAGTTAGTGTGATGCTTGTTCCAAATTATTCTTTCTTTTCAGGGTTTCTCTCCACAGAATTCTGCTTTGGCTAGGGGATCCTCCATTTTAGGGACTGTACAAGTTTCTGTAAGGCAGAAAGGGAAACAGATTCTACAGCAGTTGTATCTACTCATATGGAAAAAAAAAAAAGAGAGACTTGTACTTCATCTCACACTCAGAATTCTGCTCACTTACAAACTCTAATACATACTAGTGGGTATAATTTCTTTCCTCAAATCAGAAATTTGAGCTGCCTTTCTCAAGCCTTGGGTGAACTGCAGTTCACCTTTCACAAATTCCCTGATTTATGGTGATCAGGAGCTTCTACGAGACAGTATATTTCCGTTTGGCTTCTCCATTGGCCTCAAGAGTCTTCTCTGAGGTCCTTGTTGCAGTGACTTGCCTCTAGGAGATCTGCATTGTGCCTTATCTGTGTGACAGGCTTGTGAAAGATTTCTATTCACAGATTCTTTTGTGCTTTTATTATTAGCCTCAAAACATAGATGGTGTAGAAAAGCTGAAATGGGGGTTTATAGGCTACCTTATATTTTTATCAGAGTTTGTGTACTCTGAAATAAAGGCCAGTCCTCGCTGACAGTCTGATAACTGCAATTACAACTTTCGCGTCAGACAGCTGCTTAGGTGCATGCTGGTGTGGTGAAGGTCCCTTAGAAGAACGTATTCCACATCTAAACATGGTCTTTCCTGCTTCCTTTTCCCAGTTAGTCAGGTCCTCCTTAGCTTTGTGGAAGGACTCCTTCCCTCTACTGTCTGGAGGGAGAAAAATAGATGGTTACCATTTCTTCTTTCCCTTTTGGCTGTCATTGACAATTGTAACAGATGGTGTTGGAGATACACAAGTACAGGAGGTTTATGTATGGTATCTCTTTACAACATCCTTGAGCTTAGGCTGTCAAAACTTGTCAAATGTTCCTACATCATAATACTGCAGGCACTATGTCCAAACTGTGCTAGATATCACTTCAGCGTTTTTACGCTAAGCAGCTGCAAAGCAATGTGAGAGAGCTTGTTCTGCATAGAAGTGTTCAGATCTAATAAGTCTGCTATTGAATTGTAGTGGTAGTGAACCTTTGCGTTTCAAACTAGGCAAGTATGCTATGACAGCGGGCGTAATTCCCTGCACTGTAAGTGGGAGATCAGACTGTAAACTGTGAAATGTTCTTGGAGAATGCAGCCACCAAGAGTTTGATTTCTCTGCCCCATTTCAAGAAGACCTGTTTTTTTGTTTCAAGTAGATCTCTCAGCCTTAACTTTTTTTTCTAGTGGCTTTTAATGTCCTTTAGGTAGTAAAATATAGGCATCTTCTCTGACAGATGCCTCTGTTTCAGCTAAGCTCTGTAAGTTAGGCAGGACATTATACCACATATCCTGTTGGCCTCACCCTGGCTGAAAGCGTTGGGACAAGAAGACCCTTGTTCCTGAGCACTCGCTTCCTGTAAGAGATCTTTTCTTCTTCTCCAAGCAGCAAATGTTCTACTGGACTGATTATGCACTAACCTGTCTTTGCTTGCTATGTATTGAAGATTAAGGATTAATCCTTAAGAATTCTCCTCACACTTTTTATCTCTGTAGGAGAATACTGGGAAACGCAAGGTACATGAATGATGTAGGATACTATCTAAGATTTAAAATAATAAAAAGTGAACTTCTAGGATTGATTGCATGTGATACATGTGTTCATGTGAACAATTCATCTTGAGGAACAACATTGAATGGTAAATAACTCTTGCTTTGGTAAATAATTTGAAATTCTATGCTTCATTTGGAAACACTTGTATTATCAGGCGGCTGGTCTTAAGAGCTCTGTGCAAATAATTATTAGAAGATTGTTATACTAAACGCTTTTCCAATTAAAAACAAAAAATTAAAATTAAGCCGTTAACTGCCAATTTGGAAACTATTCAATATTGTTCATTCTTTAAAAAAAAAAAAAATCTATATTCAAGATGAGATCAGATTTCTAGTCTTGCAGTTTTACACAGGATGAATGTTCTGACTTTTTATAAGTTATAATAAATGTTTGAAAATGGATATGATGAATGATACTTATTTCAGTTTGAAAACCTTGACATGCGTTGGATACTGTTTAACAGTATTTTACTTCTATGAAGGTTCTTCTAAAGAAGGAGGAGCTGGAGCTGTGGATGAAGATGATTTTATTAAGGCATTTACAGATGTTCCTACCGTACAGGTAAGGTGCTATGCATGCTTATTTTTGTTTTCAGAAATACGCTATTTGCAACACTATACGTTAGCCTACATCGAAGCAGTCTAAAAGAAAAAATTTTCCTCTTTCTTCCAGTTATTAGTTACCAAACAGCCTCTCATTTTTTAACCTCTTACTAATTATATTTACTAAAATCCTTTTCTTAATTTTTAATTTTAATTGTTAAGCTTTTCTTAATCTTTTCCGAGGAACTACTGAAAATAGTTGTACTTTTTAATTCTGTTAATAAAAGGTTGCCACAAGGTTTGGAAAATTTAGTATTGCAATTTCTTGGGATAATTAACTAATAATAACAGACAAATAAATTAAAAAGCAAGAAAAGTATTTTTCAAATGTGAGTATCTGAATTCTAATGAAGTGTCTGGCATTGAATATGTTCATCCCTAGTAATACTTTAAAAAAAAAAAAAACTAGGGCTCTATCTGAATACTAATGAAAACTGTTAGATGCTGAGTTCTTGGTTAAAAGGTCATATTTTAATTTTTATTCTTTTGAATTGGAAATTATGTAGGAATTACGCGTTTGTTTCTCTTACACAGTTGGGTCATCGAAGATATTTGTATTTTCAAAGACCTACTTTGAAAAAGTTTTACTTGAGCTGCTGTGGTGTGGGAGGCTGCCATAAACTCGTTGTCAGCTACAGTTCTCGAATGCCAGAAGGATTTTTTGCCTCTTCTCATGATGCACGTTTTTGCTTTATTTTTATTTCCCAAGATGATAGTATAGGTATTTGCTAGATCTCCTTTTGTAGACAGAAATACTTTGTACTTATGAAGGAACACTTTATCTTGATGGTTCCTGTCACATTGAGCAAATCTTTGTCTCTACACTGTAAGAACTTTGTTTCTTCTTTGCCTCTCTGAACTGTTAAGAATTCTTTGGAGGGCAAATACACAAAACTCTTATTATTACTTATCCTCATTATGTTGAACAGAGCCATATTCCACAGCACAGAAAATGTGCTGCCTGTAATTTGATGCTTTAATATTTGCAGTCTCAAGCAGGGACTAATCACTCAAGTTGGTTAATAACACTGTGAGGAAAAAAAGTTGGATAACTGCATGTTGTTGACCAGTACGTGTGATTTTCTTTCTGACAGTGCAAGAGGTAGGGGAAAAAGACCCACTTGTTCTTACTCATCTGACCTGAGTTGAGGTGGGAGGCAGGGGAGAAAAGTGTACCTGACCCCAAAATAACTTTTTTTTCATGTCCAAGAGTGTGGGTTAGACCAAATAGCCAGGCAAAAAAAACCCAAAACTTCTAGTGTCCTTAAGAATTAGGGTTTCCCCTTGTCCACTTTCACGTTTCTGGTTGTAGACAGTTTCTGACATTTGAAAAAGAAGGCAGGTTCTGTGTTCTGAGACCATGTTAACTATTAAAGGGAGAAACTTCTTTACTAAATCTTGTGAAGAAAAAACATTTATCACCTGAAGTTTGCCACTTTATTCTGAAAGCAAGGGAAATTTGTCAGATAGAAGGAGAAGAGGGAGTTCTTTGTATGTTATTGGGCCCATTTGTGTCTTTTTGTTTTCATTACGTTTGTGTGCGTTTTACTTGTGTCTTCAGTGAAAGTAAGGGAGGAAACTATATTATGGAAATACAGATCTGATTTGAAGCAAGATTCAGTGTCTGTATTAATCAAATCAATCTAGATCACTTGCAGTATATATTTTAAAAAAAAAAAAAAACCTCCAGTGGTGGCTCTGCTTTTCTAATAACCTGTTCCAGTTACTGTGCTCATCATTAATATTTTAGGGACATCATATTGTTTGCTCTAACTTGTATTTGTACTTTTAATTTTTCTGACTTCGATATTGCACTTACCTTTATTGATGTGGGTGCGTGTTGCCCTCTAATGGATAAAGGCTGTTTATGAAGAACATAAATGATTTTGAGATATAGTCTCAAAGGTCTATGTGCTAAAAAGAAATTCTTTATTTGCTGTACTGCAGGGATAGGACAGTGCCTTAGTATTTGAGATTATAACTGTAATGTTTTTATGAGTTTATTTTTTCACTTGTGTTGAAGTTGAAGAAAATTCTGTGTTCGGATTATTAGGACTAACAGCTATTAATAGCTGGAATGTTTTTCAAAACAAATTAATCGTTTTTACAAAAGTCTGGTGTGGGAACTTTAAAATGCATTACATCATTGACTTCAAAACACAAAATGGCATCTTGACCTTATAAAAACATAATTAATCAAGAGCAGGAAAAAAATAAATTATTAAAATAATACCTTTTATTTCTCTGAAACTAATGGAAGTATAGAGAACCTTGACAGTTTGGGATATTTTCAGTGGAATTGTAGTTTTAATTTCATGCCAAGATAAAATTATGCTCTCTACTAAATTCCTCCTTGCAATGCCAGTTTAAACAACCAAAACTGTGTAGGTCCAATTCCACGTATGCTGGGTGATTAAAGAAAAAAATAAACTCTTTGCCTTGGCATCCGTGTAGGGCTGGTTTAAACCCGTTGTACCTGTAGATTGTATGTTTGTTGCCTAGCACAGTACAGTCCTGTGGCAGTAACTATAACTCACAGACACTGATAATACATAATTGACAAAAAAAAAAGTCCTGTTTTTGGGTGTCCGCTCAATGAGATAGAGCTTTTGAAAGGTATTCGTAGCTTGACCAGAACCTCGGACTAAGTTTAAAATTGGCACCAGAGTTAAACAGATCTCATAGTTAGCTGCCACCAAAAGATATGACCCTGCTTCCTTTCCTGTTGTACTTTACTACTTTTGTTGGCACAGTTGCTGAATTGGCAGAGGAATCTTTGCCTTTCTTTTTAATGCAAGGTGAGTGATGGTAAAGGTGGAGCACCTGAGGAATTTGAATTGTATCACAGCTTTCAGTGACATTAGAGTGACTTTAATATGAAATTACATCTCGATTTCAGCACTGACCACTCCCTTCCACTTATAAAAGAAAACTAAAAATTTCCTTTGGATAAAGGAAATTTTAATTTGATGAAGTGGCTTACTGAGAAACATGTAATATTTATTTTTAGTAGTATAATACCTATGGAATTAGTGTTAAAGTAAACGTGTAATAAGTATTCTGTACTACCCATGTACTGAAGTATATTAAATGGTGATGCAAAAGCCATTTTTGTGGGTAGAAGAGTAGAAGTTCTGTTATATTTGGACCCACTATTTTCATTAAATCCTTCACTTTTTAAGTAAATTGTGTATCAAATGTTTAGTAATTTCTAATGAAAAAACAGTAATTGTGAGGAATTGTTTTATTTTTTAAGGAAGTAATCTGTCCCCTGTACAGAATTGCAAAGTTCCTTCCATGGTGTACCCTGAGAAAGCTTACATATGTGTGGTAATACAAATGTCAATTCTGTGAGTAAAGCGCATTCAGAAACAAATTGTTTTCTGCCTGACAGTGAAGCTGGCCTAGGTGCTCTAACTCTTCTGTGTCTGTTGTGGTTCCTGTACTACTTATGCTACAGACCAAATATGCAGAAGTCTTAGGGCCTGAATGTCTTCCCCCTTGCAGCAGGAAGTATAGAGGCCCCCATAACCATGGTCTGTTATTAAAGCGTTGGAGGAAAAGTAGAAGGCAGCAAAGAGTCTGGGTTCCATTTCTACTGCAAGTTAAATTCATTTGCTATACTCAGGGAATTGGAAAGCTAATCTTTGTTTGTAAGGACTCTTGCAATAATTTCAGGTCGTCCAGGAAAATGAGATATTCTGTAGAAAAACAGGTTCAACTTAACTGTAGAACAGAAGAGAGACATTCCTAAATATTTTTACAAAAAAATTGAAAGAAATTCATATTCAAGAAACCAGTGTCAAAGCTCTTTGGCAATTTATGCCGAGCAAGGTGTCCTAACCATTGGTCCCTGTTTCTCCTACACGTTCTGTGCTCCCACATACACTAAAATTCTATCTGGGACTCTTCTGATGGTTTTCATTGAAATAATGAGTGAGCATCAGGTGCCTAAACATATGCATTACTGTTACGTGAGATGCTATGTAAAGTACCGCACTGGCGTCCCCCTGCCTCTGTAGAAAGGCACGAGTCTCCCGTAAGTCCAGCACCATCTCTGCCAACCCCATGTGGGTGTTTCACATGCAACTCAGATGGCACTAGATGCCTCTGCGTGGGCAGCGGAGCTGAGCCCAGTGGGTTAATGTAAACAACTCTGGATCCAAGAAATAGGAAATTTCCAGCTGCAAATACTTTGTTGACAAAATTAATGCCAGATCAAGTTGCTGGTTAGTAGTTTGCTTCACATCCTCTTCAATTTGTACTCCATTGGTATGTGGCAGCAGGGAAAAAAAAACTCAACTTTAAATTTTGCAGAAAAGAAGCAGAAGCAGAAAAGAGTATCCTGTGGCTTATGTCCAGGACAATAAAAGGGAAGTCAGTTTGTTTCTAAATGAAAATATATTATTAGTATTTATGTGATTATTTTTCACTCTTAATTTACTACTTTAGAAATCCACTATTGCACATGCAAAGTAAAGTTATCAAGAGATGCATTAATTCATGTATTACTAAATAATGGCTGATGCATGAGTAGGTCAATCAGGCTTCAATTTTGCTGGAAATATTATTTAGGTGATAGCGAACTCCAGTTGGAGGAGGCTCCTTAAATTTACTTACTGATTGCTGATAAATGGTAGTCTTGGAAGACTAGTCCGTATAGAAGCTGTTGGGGTTCTTAATTTATTTTTTCAGGCGCATTTATTTTCAGTAGTGACTAGCAGGCCAGTTAGATCTCCGTAGAACCACACACTCTTCTAATGAGGAAGAGAGTACCTGCACCAAAGGAGTTACATCAGGTTAAAATCTGGTGGTTGAGTATCATTCAGTTTTATTATTTCCAGACTTTACTCTCTTTATTTTAATAGTGTGTAGGAAAATGAAACTGAATTGCAATAATATGTCAACAGATTATCTAAAAGCTCCACTAGAGTGTTGAATAATACTTAACAAAAATAGGATAGAGTGAATGAAACTCTAGATACATGGTTAGATCATCGGAAAGAGGAAAAATGAGATCCTGAAGAAAATGTTAATTCTTCAGCCTTTTATAATGAATGTTCCTTACTCAGTGATACCCTCAAAGCTTTGCTATAAAATGCAGTTATGCTTGTTATGCTATATGTGGTTCTGTGGAACTCTTGGGGAAAGATTCTTTGGGATTGGAGTTTTGTTTTCAACCTAAAGCTAGTTTCCTTCAGGTAAACTGGAATATTAATGATATAAATATTTTGTGTTTTTAATATTTCAGATCTATTCTAGTCGAGAACTTGAAGAAACGTTAAACAAAATCAGGGAAATCCTCTCGGATGACAAACATGATTGGGATCAACGAACTAATGCGGTAAACATTTTTGTCTGATTTCAGGTTTGGGTGGGTGTATTTTATGAAACACAGGTAACTAGTTGTTTTGAAACATTTTTCTTAAGTAATATAGTTCAGAAAGTCAAAGAAGCTTTCATTCTAGATATCTAAATCTTTTTTTGAGATTTCCGTGTATCAAATCATTTTGGAGTAAGCTTGAAAAAATATTTTAAAAATGCTAAAATATATTTTTGTTGACTTTTAAGTGGTGGCTTTTGCAAAAGCAAAATGTGTATGTTTCAATGCAAAAAACATGTTCTGCAGGTAAACTGCAAGTGCTGATACCTCTTCTGTGTGGCTATGACAAATCTCACTTACATAATTAAAATGTATATGTGTATGTGGCATTTAGACTTTTGTCAAGTTTGTGGTGTCTTAGTAGGAGTTTGAAAACATGTCTATGGACAGAATTATGTGTTTGGAGACTGGGCTCTCAGACTTTTTAGCTCTAGAATTTAGTAGTTTCCTACAGTTTTTTTAGTGTTTTCATATATTTCAAAGTGGTACTTTGTTTTATGTTGAATATTATTGATTGAGATGGTTTTCGTCTTTTGTAATTTGCGTTTTATGAAGACAGTTACACTTCAATGCTGTTAGCACAGGTGTCTCAAGAACTCTCTTAAATCTTTAGACACCAGAGAAATGCATATGTTTCAGTTGCTTACATACATTTTCAAAATTAAGTGAATACTCCTTCTATTTAGAAATTATATTGATAGTTTGCTCAACTGAATGGCTTAAATTTTTTTAGCTCAAGAAAGTTCGATCATTGCTTGTTGCTGGAGCTGCACAGTATGATGGATTTTTTCAGCATTTACGGTTGTTGGATGGTGCTTTCAAGCTGTCAGCCAAGGATCTCAGATCCCAGGTGGTTAGAGAAGCATGCATTACTGTAGCGTAAGTACAGTTTATGTCCGTTTCTGTACAGTGCTTGATTTTTGTGTGAACGTGAATTTAAGATGCTTTTGAGTGTGGCAGGAAAGGTTATATTTTTGAATTGTTGTACACTATAACTGGCTAAAGACTGAAGTCAGACTCTGAAGCTGTAGAGACAACGAAGAAACGTTTTAAATGAATTTGTTCTTTTTAGGTGATAAACGTAGTTGATAATGCTGTAAAATATTTTATGTGAAGAACAAATTACCATCATTAGACTGAGCACTTAACATGAGTTAATACAAATTGCTGTAAATGCTGTTTCTTACAATCTTGAGGGCCAGTCTTGGAAGCACTTAGAAGTTTTTCCTGCATTATAAAAATATAAAATCTCAAGGATTAACTTTTTTCCAGATTTGAGCTTAACATACTTTCAAAGTGTATTAAAGAGTAGAAATATTGTGATGTTGTATATGGACATGAGAATTTCAGACTTGACGTTTTTATTTTTCGTTATGAAATTTGTAAGTAACAAAAACGTTCCACAAATCTTGCAGTTCTAATGAGGCGAGGATTTGGAAATAATGAAGTTAAGAAATTCTGTTGTTTGGAAAGCTAAATCTGTAAAATGTACAATAAATTGTGTTATTCTAAGACTAATAAATAATTTTTTATTAACCAGTTTTATTTCTTTTTCCTAAATAGCCATCTTTCAACTGTCTTGGGAAACAAGTTTGATCATGGCGCTGAAGCTATTGTGCCTACTCTTTTCAATCTGGTTCCCAATAGCGCCAAAGTAATGGCAACTTCTGGGTGTGCAGCCATTAGATTTATTATTCGGGTAGGTGTTCCTCTCTTATTTTACTTGCTAGAAATATTCAGGTGATGGGTTCTTAGCAGAGATATTACCAATTCTGAAATGTAATTAGGATTCGTTTAACCATTCTTTAAGATGTTTATTCAGCAATGGAGAAGTAATTTTTTGTACAAAAAAAAAGCAAATGTATTTTCATTATTTTTGTAGTGTGTGAATTGTCAAAAGGCAAATGTATTTCAAAGGTTATCTATCTTTTTGCAAAAAGCAAAGTTAGTAAACAGGCTAGTAATGAATTCTTTAAAGCAGCGTTTCTTTTGTTGTGCGTGTGTGTATACACACACCCACTCGCTCCCTCTTGGAACCATGAATGCGTGAGAGAATGTTGAAGAGGCCAAACACCTGTGGATCGATTCAGAAGGGACAAGTTCATGGAAGGAAAGTACAAAAGAGATATTTAAATCTCTGCTGTGAGAGCATTGTAAGCTGCTGACCACATAAAGCAGGAAAGAGAAAATACTGCGTACTGGCCCTGTTCTTACTGTCTGTTCCTAAGCGTCTATTACTGACCAGAGTCTGAAAGAAGATGTTTGGCTAGATTTCTAGGACCTGCACTGACATTTTTTTGCTTTAGATAAAAGTCGGGGGGATTGCCTGTAGTTTCTACGTTAAAAGCTGTGTGGGGTTCTCTAGTTCTTAGTGATAGACACTGCTGTTCACCATAATCTCATCTGCACTCATGATTTTGTAGATTTAGAGATCTAAGTCCTTTAATCACTTGCACATTTTATTACTATTCAGTATTTTCAGTACTTATCATTCTGTGTCTCTAAACTATGTCTCTAAAAGTGTGCTCTGTAACTTTCTGTGTTACCTTTGCATCAGCTGCTTGTACTAAGAAAAGTAGATATTTTTCCCTCCAGTCCTACAATGCGCTGTGAGATGGCTCAGGGCACAGAGTTGAGAGAGGCGGATGGAGTACACCTTTACGTAATGTGATTAAAGTTATAAGAGAAGACCTCATTTGCAGTAGTATTAGACAAGCTGAGATGTGTAAGAAAATAACCCCCTCTCATTGTTTATAGGAGCCAAATCAAGCACTAGAACAGAAAAGCAGCATGAAGTGAAATTCACTGATTTATTAAATTGACCTTATTGGCTCAGTTTAATTGAGGTAGAGCCTACATGCCAGCTATAGCTGCCCTGATTTTGCTTAAGTTTCTGTTATTCTTACTTGTTACTTAATGTCATAGACAGGATTTTCTTGCTTCCATGCTTCCAGTATGTTGTATTCAAATACCAACAAATAAATCGGTTATGCAAGGTGTTCTGGCAATCAGAAAATTCCAGTTTTAATGGAAACGGAAAGAAATGAATTCTAGAGTCAAAGGCAGTGCATTCCCACTTTCCATGGACTTCTGTCCTTTGGATTAAGTTAGGGTTTGTCAAGGAAAGTATGTGATCAGTCAGATATTTAGAGCCCAAGTCATTATGGCTTTTGGAGTCAGAGCTGTGCTTATAAACTCCTATCAGAAACCATTGACCAGTTCACCAGAACCACCAGCCAGTTCAGATCCCGGCGCTGTAGTGTCTTATTGCTGTGAGAGGGTTCCCTGAAAAAGAGGGAGCTTGTGTTAAGCAGTTTGTCCTTCAGTTTGTCTTGAAGAGCTCCAGCTCATCTTTGCCCCTCTATTGGATTTCACGTTTCTTGTCCGGATAGTTTTTTGAAAGTATGATCTAGGTGGCTGCACAGATTTAGAACATACAGGTTTCTCCATCTGAAAATACTGTATTCTTTCCTCCTTATTTGCATGCTGTGCACTTGCTGGCAGTCATGCATCCCTTTTTAAATCTGAAAATAATATAAAATATAAATAAAACACTATTTATCAATAGGGAAAAGTATAACCGTTAGGCTGTTCTGGATTTCTGGATTCATTCCCTCCTAATTCTAACGTTGGCAGTGCTCTGAAAGCTGATAATTATCTTTCTGCTTTGGGTAATTTGTGTGTTTATATCCTGAAACAATAATCTAAGGAAAAAGTGCAATACATGAGATACTAAGAACTGTTTAGTAGTACTGTAATCTTTAAGCAGTTTTTTTTATACTTTACCATTTCATACTGTATTGGGAAACTGTATTGGGAACTGTCTTAAAGTTTATCTAATGTGATTAATCAGGAAAGGAATGAATGAAATGAAAATGGGTTTGTTGAACTGTGTTACTCTTACTGGGAATTAAAATAGTATTGCTTTGTGTCTACAGTTAAGATAAGTAAGGCTGCTTTAATTCTAAATAAAAGTATTGCATAGGGATTTAATGTAGTTTATCCTATCCACTTTACATGATAATTCAAGGGTTTTCTTTGAGTCTTCCCGTGAGGATACAGTAGGTGTTTCCAAATAGATTCTATACGTAAGTTTGCTTTTATGTGAACTACATGTTATGCATTTATTTTATTGACTTTTTTACATTAAAAGCAATTTGGTCTTTCTAGCGCTAGCTGTCTCGATTGATTGATCCCTAAAAGAATGCTCAGAGTTTTAGATTGATAATTTGCTTTTTGCTCTATTACCCAGTTTTTGACTGATGTATCTATTGCTTTTTTTTTTCCCCCCTGCGTTCAAACTGAAATAACACCAGTTTAGAACCCCTCTGAGGAAAGAGGGATTTTTGAGCTTTCATTTGTGACTTCTGATGGCTAAATATTGTGCATCGCAAGATGGTTATTGGCCAAGTGTTTCTTGTTTGATTTTCTTTTAAGAAAATGATTTAATGATTCATATGTAGTAACAGCAGTCTGCATTTAATAATATTCTACATTTAGTTTCAGTACACATTTTAAATGATATTGTCATTTTTATTATGTTACTAACTCTGGGTTAATTAGTACAGTAAAAATTCAGGAATGCTTTTATCATTAACTGCTTTGTCCTGTCTTTTTCAGCATACCCATGTGCCCAGACTTATACCTTTAATAACAAGCAACTGTACTTCAAAATCAGTTGCAGTTAGAAGGTTAGTAATATTATGAATAGCACATTTTTAACTTGTTGCTTTTTAAATATGATGATGGTGTGAATACATGAAACTATCTTCCAGTAAACTACAAAAAAAAGAGTTTCAGCAATGTTATTCACCTGGATGTTGTTGAGGAGCAGTATTTTTTCTAACATATAGGGAGGACCTGCACTGTGTCCTTCTGCAGAGTTTGTTCTAATTTAAAATGTTTGTAACACTTGTTGAAGGAGTATCTCCTGATTTAAAACCAGGAGTAAAGCAGTTATAGTTAAATCCATGAACTGGTATCGAGAGGCGCTGGTGAGCATGATGCAAGTCTTTGCAAAGAACCAGCCTGAACTTATTAGCTGCAGTGAGTGCCAGCCCTGGCAGGCCTAGTGAGGTTAGCTCCTGCAGAAGCACTGCAGTGTACTGTGTTCAGCGTTTGCCAGCATGTTGCGCTCTCCGTTCCAAGAGGACTTTCCAACTCTTGTACAATGCAGTTTTAATGCGTGGAGCTAGGCCATGTCTCATACTGTGCCCAAAATAATAAGCCTGGGGAGTTTGACGTTGAGGGACGTGATAGATCAGGCTGTAACTGTGCTGGACAACAGAGGTGCATCTTCAACATGCTGAGGTTCCAAGAACAAGATCCTTGAACATTTGGATTGGCTCTTGATGAGCTCATTTGGGGTCTGGCAGTGTTGCTTTCTGCACAGAATCTCACAAAAGCCGTTATGCTGCTTCTGGACCCAAGTTAGCCCTGAAAGTTGTATAGCTGTGTATATGTAAGAGATGGTTTGAGCACCTAAACTGTTTGCTGTGGTGGGGCCGAATTGTCTTTGCATCCAAAGCAAGCATAATCTCTGAGCCAAGGTTATGCTGATCTCTCGTAACTTAGCGTTTAACTGCAAGGCAATATGCAGTACTCTGTCTCCACATCCCATAACTTCGCTAAGCAGCCACAGTTTTGCTGCTGCAGTTTACAGTCCAGTAAGCAACAATGAAGGTGGCCAAAACTACACTGTTTTCATACTGATTGCCTTGTCTTCACAACGTAATGGAAAAACTAAATCAGTTATAATTGTGAAGAAAATTCTTAAGCCTTTCAGGGTTTTTTGCCATATTTTGTAGATGTCTAAAGGCTTTGGGTAAAGCAGAAATGAAACCTGCCCCTTCAGAGCAGATCAAAGACGCAGCATAGCCAGATAAAGCAGTAGTCCCAGACAAAGAATAGACACTACTACCTTTCAGAAGACTCTACCTGCACGTTCCTAATCCATATCAATTTGATTTGTTCACCAGCATCTAGCTTCAGCCGTATTTCAAAGTATGCTTTTTTGCTAATGGATGTCTGCTAAATTGTCAAGAATTCTGAATTTATAATAAATGCAATTACATGGATTGTTTTATACAGTGCTAGCAAATCTTTGACTGCTTTCTATATACATGGCCTTTTATTAATGGTCTTATGTTTTCAGTTATGCTATATACTCAGTAATGAATATAGTAATAAGATGAAAGGGTGAGGGTAGAATCTGGGAAAAAAGTACAGTGCTATAGAGGTATTATTGTGTAACTTAATAGTTAAATTTTTAAAGTAGTGATCTTTTTGCATATTAAGATTTTTGTAGTAATTGTATTTCCCTGTAATTTTTAAGCTTAGTTAATTTGTTTGATACTTTGGGACTAATAAAACTAATATAGCATGTGTTTAATAACATTACTTAATAGATAGAAGCACATACCTTTTTTTTGGAAGTTAGGATTAGTTATTTCACATACTTACTTTGTGTACAGAGTTTTTAAATTTTGCAGGAAGCAGACCCATGTCCTGATTTAGCAGATAAATATGCTTTTCTTTTATGTATTTCTTTCCCACAGGGGGAAAGAATGAAGTTACTGTTAATTTCACAAGCACATTAGAGAAATGAGTACTAATTATACCTCTCTATCCTGTCTTTTTAGGCGCTCTTTTGAATTTTTAGACCTGTTGTTACAAGAATGGCAAACACATTCACTGGAAAGGTATGGGTAAATATACTTTTTCCCAACTGTAAGCTATTAATATTTTTTTAATGAACTGTTAATGAACAGAGTGGTATTGTTAAGATCTGAAATAATTCGATAGGGAAATTGTTGTCTAATGTAAAGAAAACAGAAACCTTCTATCTGAGTGAGTAAAGGTGTTAGCCCATTTTGAGCCTTTACTATGAAAATACACAACCATATATTCCTTTCCATGAACACGTGTGTAATATACCAGGTGGTCTGAATCAGTTTGCCACAAAGTTAAGTCTAAAAAAATGTTTCGTAGTGATGTGTGATTTGCAGTAGGCTCTCTGGAGTCTAGCCATGCAAGCTTACAGAAGTGGTTTTTTTTTTGCATCTTTGTAATGCCTTGTGTGGATGTTTTTGGAGGTGCAGTTACAGTTGCTCTCACTTAGCAGTTTTTTTTCCTACCAGGACTTTTAGCAGAGATTCTATTACTGCAGATTTCTCTTTTCTACTTAATTGTCTATTTTCATGAAAACTGTAAGGAAATAGAGTACCTCAAAGCAATTGGAATCTGTTTTAAAGGATGTAGATAAAGCCTACTTAACTGAATACTAAGTGGTCACAATCACACTATTAACGCTACCTCTCAAATTGTGTGCTTTAATACAAGTAAACGGTAGAGTGAAGAGTGTTAGCGCTATTTCATGTGAGGCGCTTGACGTGAAGACATGAAGTAATTCTTCTGTACAGTCACAATCAATAGCAGAACTGGGAACTGAACTGAGCCTCTGTAACACCAGGCTAGTACTGAAAATCCTAGATCATTCTTACCTGACGCTGTACTGACGTGTTGAGGGCAACACAATTTTTCATTTTTGACTACTAGAACTGTATTTTTTAGTAAATGATTATTCTGAAAGCATTGTTATACTGTTATATTGTGTCCTTTAGTGACTGATTGATCCAAATGAATTGAATATTAAAATGTGTATGTGTGTTTACATGTATTTAAAATTACAAAGAAGAAGCTTAAGAGGCATTTTAACTTTGTATTTGCTAAAGGTCCAAAAAAGTATGTTATCCTTTTCTGTAGCACCTCTTGCTCCTAATTTGCTTTAAAATTAAATTATTTCTAACAAGCTCTACCTGCCTTGATGATAGGCTTTACTTCTCCAGAAAAAGTAGATTCCCTATTCAGGTGGAGGAGTAGCTGGGAGCTTTCTAGGCCTCTACAGAAGGTGCAGTTATGTCATCAGTGTACTGATTGCTTCATATCTTGGAAAAAACTGACTGTGTGGGCTTTTACTTAGAGAAATATTAATTAATGGGTGAAACTTTAGTTTTTTTCAGAATTGAATTTGGAGTAGTAAAAGGTAGTATGAAGAATGTCTTTCTTTTAGGCATGCAGCTGTCTTGGTTGAAACAATCAAGAAGGGTATTCATGATGCTGATGCGGAAGCAAGAGTGGAGGCAAGAAAGTAAGTATTGGTTGTACTTGTTGCTCTGAAAAATGGCAGATTTTCTATGAAGGATAGAAGAGTCTAAATAATATAATTACATCAGCTATAGTTAGCTACTCACCCCTAAAGAACAGGGCACAAGTTAAGCAGAAAATTCACGTTTCTGCTTTCCGCGTCTTGAATTAATATCTGCTTCGTACTGAAAAAGAAAATAAAGGTTGGGGCAGTTGATGATAATGTTTCAGAGAGTTTGAGGATTCTAGTGAAAGAGGCGTGATAAAGGTTGATACTGTTGCATAATCATTCACTTTTTCCATGAATTAACTCACTGAACAACTACAATCCTTCCACTGATGAGCAGACCAGAAAAGAATTTCTTTTGCTCCCCTACCGGAACAAGTACTAAGACTTAGTAAGTAAACTTGAGAATTTCAGAGGACAGAAAGCTAAGTCGTTTTGAAAAAATCAATTCAGTCAATTAAGCTGGTTTCTTTTATGACCTAGTGAGCGTATTATATGTGGTACGTATTTCTGCTCTGAGTTGCTTTCTTTACCATCCCTGGTTCATTCTGCAATCTTTCCCTTCCAGACTGTATGTTTTTTAAGAAAAACCTAAAACAATTACATTTGCTAATTCTTTTATTTTGCAGGGCTTATCTGGGTCTTAGAAATCACTTTCCTAGTGAAGCAGAAACTCTGTACAATTCTCTTGAGCCACCCTATCAAAGAAGCCTCCAGACCTACTTGAAGAATTCTGGCAGTATAGCATCTCTCCCTCAGTCTGACAGGTCATCCTCCAGTTCACAGGAGAGTCTCAAGTAAGAGTCACTTGCTGATTTGAATCTGAACAAGCATAAAATGTGTCTCAAAAGCACATGAGCTAGGCTCCTGTGGTGTGCAGAAAAGCTGCACTTTTAATATTCACATTCTTAAAATTCTTTTATCGTGCTTTGGTACGTGACAATGTATTATTCTAGCAAGGTGCAAAACAAGCGCGTATATAAACTTGAATTTAGCAGACTATGCTTACTCATCTATTTGTTCCTTAGTAGCCTTTGTTGCACCGTGGGTTCTTTAAGGTTTGTGTAGTGAAGTAAGCATTACTGCTTGTCCAGCAGCATGGTAAAAGGAGTAACTTGAGGAAAAAAATTACAGTGTCACTTCTTTTCGTCTCTTTTCTCTGCAAGTATGCAGAAGAGACGTTGACAAAGAGATTCATTCAGATCAGAGGTCATTTGTTTTTATTCCGTCTTCGCGGTATTGGATATTTCATGACTGCTGATTATTAGAGGGTGGCTCCGTTCTGTAGGCAATGGTGTATTCTGATGCGTCAACAATCTTGAACTGATTAGATTAAAGCTTGCTTAGGTACCAGTAGCAAAAGAGATTAACTGGCTTTTTAGTGGAAATGGAAAGCTGGGAGTAGTACTATGTGGTGATTTTACCCTTTAAATTACAGAAGGGATCCTCAAAGTATTTAAGATTTCACTTCCGATGCTTCATTTCCAAAGCAAGAGAACGTGGTGCTTGCTCACTTTTGGCTTGAAAGCAAAGGCTGTTTCTAGCATATTGAAAGTTAAATTATTTTTGGCTGGCACCTTAAATACCAGTGGCTTTCCCTCTTCTGCTTCAGATCTTGTCCTGAGTATGATACTTGTAATTATGAAACATTTTTAAAACGGTTATTGCTAGCGCTTCATTTTCCACTAACAAATATTTATTCAGAGATTGATTACTCTTGTTCACATGAATTCAATCTATATTTCCAACTTGGAAATTAAAAGGCTATTAATGAGTTACTAAAAACAAAATGTTAAAAACTATATTATAGAGAAACTAGAATCTTGCAATATTAAATCCTTAGGTAAGTGTTACTTCCCCTATTGCAAGATGTGTAACTTGCCAATTGTTTGAAGGCAAGCAATACGGAATGGGAGGGGTAAAATTAGAGATAAGCAAAAGAAATCTGATATTGGAAGTAATAAACTTTTTTTTAAACTGAGTTTTCACTATTTTTTTGCTTAGGCGCATCTCATTTTCCCTGTGTTTTCCCCAAAATTTTTATCCTTGCTTCTGCAGTAGATGCTGAGTTCTCCCTGCATATATTAGAGTAGGAAATAAGGGTAGTGGGTTTTCTTGTTTTTTGTTTTAACATCTGATCTGCTGTGCTTTTTTGACGCTCTGAACTTGCAAATCTTACAGGTCCGTTGATCAAAATGGTTTTGGTGTACTGTGATTTTGTTGTAAGACTGAGAAAAATAATCACCATCAGTCCAGCCAAAATCAGCTGAGCCTAAAGGGAGAACTGATTTTTGTGACAGAGTTTCAGAGTTACAAGAGAGATTGTAACAGCAGAATGTTCCATTTTAAGTGTTACTATCTCAACCCTGTCCATCTTTTATTAGACCTCTGAGTTTAAAAACAAACAAACAAAAACACAAAAAACCCTTCTATTTTTTTCCTTTCTAAGTAAACAGCAAAGAAATTTTTGAAGTTTGCTTCTTTTTGATCATTATTCATATCATTATGGAAGCTCTGAGTTGCTCCTTAAACCTGGAAAGAAATTGGCTTCATTTAGTGATCAAGCTATTCTGAGGGAACAATTACCTAATTTACTTCTGTGACTTTGGCAACTTCCATGCAATAACAATGGTATTTTAAGTGGAGAAGGGAAATGTGGTGACTTGCGCCTGCAAAACAAGCTTTACCTCTGTGAAGCTGCTTGAATGAAATGTCATTCACAGTAGATTGTGCAAATGCTCAAATTGTAACTGTTTTCTGAGCCTTCTTTTTGGTGCTGCTTGTAAGGTCAGAATGTGCTCAAGAGCGCTGCTGGAGTATACTGATGGTAATACCTCCAACTGATGGTAATACCTCCAAAATAGTGGTTATTGATGTCAGAAAAGCAGGTATCATTCATAGTAAACTGCTAAACACTTGATTTTCTGTGAGGCGTTAGATAACAATGCTGACATGTACATTATCACTGAGCCAGTAGCTCAGAGACATACACAGTATTATGCATGTCTCTTCTCTCTGCTTTTTGATATTAAAATTAGGGAGTATTTTTACTAAAGCTGAGACTCTAGACTGCAAGGTTATAATTTGAGCATCAACGAAATTGCTACAAACCTTCCCAGTCAGATAAATATTTAGATGGCTGCAGATGAATCAATGAATAAAATATCGTGCCATTCACTGTCTCCTCGATTCCCTACCTTCATCATCTTTTTTTTGTTTTTCCCTGCACCCTCTTACTGCACGCTAGCTTTTGGACCAAGCAGAAGGAAGGGTTTACAGTTAAACTGTAGTAGACCAAAAGATTTTACTCCAGCAACTATCCACTTTGGCAGTAAGAGTATAGGGAAATGGAAAGTTAACAGAGGAAAGACGTGCTTTTCCCCCTCCTTTTATAAATTACAGAAGCCTCTAACAGTCAAACAAGGGAAGCTCCATCCAGCTACTTTGAAGTTCCAGCCTATTTCTTTTTACTTTCCAATTGAATTATTTGGAGATACAGGACTGGAGGAAGCTTATGAGTCATATGCATGTTTTCCTTGTTATTGCAGACAACCCTCTTCATGTAATTCCTTTCATTATAAATCAAGATCTTTCAGTTTAGCTTCTGCTATTTTTGTTTGACAGCTGATTTAGAAGATCATCCCCGCAGTTAAAACCTTGTAACGGCCAGCTTAAATGTTTCTATGACCAAATCTAGAATGCCTGCCCTTTGTGTTAGCAAAGTATGTCTGTTAATTAGCAAGAGATTAATGCCTTGTAATGAACATTTAATTTCATAAAATTTGAAAGGTGGTGTGATAAGATGGAGATGTTTTCCTTATCATTCCATATTTAATCTATTTATCTGAAATATGCAGACACAGTAGAAAGGGGAAAAAAAGGAATATTTCTTTTCCTCAGACCACTGTGTAGTGTTGCTTTTTGTATCAGATAATATGAGAGATGTATTTCATTAAAGCCCTTATTTATTGGATTTGTTTATTTTATTTATAGCCGTCCTCTATCTTCTAAATGGTCTGCAGCCAGCCCAGCAAGCCTTGCAGGCAGAGGTATGCTTATTGCTGTATGGTGCACAATAATTGTTTTTAATGTTATTTTAGTTAAAAATTTTAAATGCAGTTTACAATTTTACAGTCTTTGTTGTTTACCCTGTTACACAATTGAATAATGATATATGCCACTACCAACTACACCTGGAACTAAGATTGCCTCCTGTTTGCTTTAGCTTTTATGTGTTTTTGGTTGTTGCAACATTGTAATGTGTTACCAGGTACAAGACATTATTGCCTATGTATCGCCACTATTAACTGATCCTGTTTCTTGAAATATTCTCATTGACCAGTCATTCTAAAAAGAGCAAAGTATTATTCTGTGATCTGTTCAGGACTATTAGGCTCATGGCAATTGGAAATGAAGAGTTGTTGTACCTCTGGTGTTGTACACTATTCTAGTGTAGCTGCTGTTCCTTATGAAAAAAATAGACTTGTAATTCAAACCATTTAATTTTGTCTGGATTTTCAGAATTGAATCTATCTGTTCTTTTTTTCCCATTATTTCTTTGTAACTCTTAGTGAGTAAATCATTGACTCCTTTTTTACAAGTAGCCAGTTATTATGAGTGCTTGTTTTCTGAGTAGCTAAATTGTTACGAGGGAGTCGGTTTTTGAAGACATGCACCAATGGCTAAAATTAGCAGAGCTGAATAGTTATTATTCAGCTAATAACTAGAGATGAATATAAAAATATTTTACAGAAGATTAGGCCCTCCAGTAATTCAGGGTAGGCATTCAACTTACCTAGTTGCTGCATCTCCCTGACATTAGTTTCTTAGCGGATGTGTGGAAATATACTTGCTCTAGTATCACGAGGGACACTGAATTGCTGTGAATTTAGGAAACGTTCAGTAATGTGATGAACAAACCACATGAATGTTCCCAATTATGTCGTTTGTATTACGGTGGGAGCAAGTAGTTTGTATAGAGCAATGGTAAAACTTCATGCTGAATGAAGATGATGGGGAATGCTATACAGCAGAGTACTGAATTGGTTCTCTGTTTGATAAGTATGGTTGTGTGAAGTGATCAAGACGTGAAAATTCACAAAAAATTGAATGACTCATGATTTAAAATATTAGAGTGGCCGGACAGATCGAGGACTTAGTTCTTTACCTGAATTTCAAGGCAACATCAGGTCTAGAATTTCAGTACTATTTGGCCATGCGTGCTTGCTTTTAACCTTTTAATAGTATTGTGTTTAGTATTAACTTGACTTATACTGTCTAATGTTGTTTTCTGTATTTTTTTGCAAGTATACTGCAGCAATAGAAAACTTTAACCTTGTAGATATATTTCTGTCTATTCATTACCATAATAATTACTGTAACTTTTTTTCTTTTTTTAGTTTCAGGAAGCAGCAGCAAGAGTGTTCCAAGCCCAGGAACTCTGCAAAGGTCTCGCAGTGACATTGATGTTAATGCTGCTGCAGGTGCAAAGGCCCGTCATGCTGCTGGACAGACAGCTGGAGCTGGGCGCTTGTCCGCGGCTGGTCTCCCTCCAGGATCATATGCTTCGCTAGGTAGGGGATATATCTTTATGGTACTGTGAAATATTTTTTGTCATTTTTAGTCAAAGAAATTATGAGAAAGTACTTCTGCATTTGAAAAGCTTTCATTGTCATTTTTAGTATTGTTGGGGTAATGCGAAAGACCAAGTGTTCTTAAGTAAGTTATCTTTGCTAGGTGATTTAGTTCTTCCTTCTTTTGGAAGAATGCCAATTTAAATAATGTATCCATACTACATTTTTTAAATGTATTTATCTGGAAATATTTAAAGTATGTGAAGGAGCGATACCTTCACTTAACAGAGGGTGGTGATCATGACTCCTTTTTTGTTTTAGGAGCAGGAAGGAAGTCAGTGTTAGAACTCTTATTTCCCATTTTACCCAGCTCTTTGGCACTGTTGTAACATAGCTAGCAAGATTCCCTTGTAGTGAGTGGTGGCTGTTCCATGTAATATGGAAGCGTTTCATATACTAACGTGCAACAGTGGTTTGAGAGGTTTCTTCCTAAGCGTGCTGATGCAACTATGCATATGTTTGTTTGTATCTAGGTACCAGTCCTCACCCAGGCAGGAATACTTATTAGACATAGAAAGGGCTACGAATAAGTCTATGGAAAAGTGTATTTCTGACAGTGGTGGTGTTAGATGCTAGAACTTGCGCTCAGGCTAAATTGAACCAGCGTGTAAGGAGGATAAGAATATAAGGCATGTGTCTGTTCTTTTCAGATTATCCATAATACAGAGGTATATATGCAAGAAGTGAGGTGCAGCATTCATAGTACAGCTAGTTTTTTTTGTTTGTTTTTTTTTTTCCCCCCTGTCAGCCTGTGTGCCAGCTAGATCACTGAGGAGACAAGTCCTAATGCCAGTGTTGCCAAACACAATCACAGGAGAGTCAGAGAAATGCATTATGGGTCTTTGGATTTACCTTGTGTTTGGGGAGATGTTAGGATATGCTTAAGCTATGTTTTTCAAGGGTTTTGATTGTATTTTTTAATTCAAATTTCAGCATTTAAAATATTTGAAATGAGTTGATACTCTTGTGTCATGACTGACTTCTTGAAATGGTTTGAACACCACTTAATTTAGAATTAAATTTATAAGCTCTGGCAATGTCGACTACGAGGAGCAGTCTCTTCGCAAAATCGATCTGTAACTTAGGGTTGTGGGCTCCCTCTAGTGCCCACAGGGCGATTCAGAGATCGGTAGGAAAGTTAGCTGCTCCTCTTGCTTGGTGGAGGAGGTATGCCCGTGGCTATCGGTTGACTGTGGAGGAGCCTCTGTTCTTCCTAACCGAATGTCAGAATGCCTGAAATAGATGAGATGATTATTCTCCAAGATCACAGTGTTGCCTAGTCTGCTTTGGTGTGCAACTGCGTGTGTATGGAATCTTAGACAGAGCTGGGGTTCAGTTTCTCTCATGAGAAAGCCATGTGAAAGGGACTCAGAGCATGGTGGTAGAAGAAGCAGCAAGCCAGAGGTCAAATAAGAAAAATGAAGAACGAAGTAGCTCTTTCTGGTAATGTATCTTCATGCTGATGAAAGGAAGGGACTGGTTTGATCTTTTGTTAAGATTAACAGAAATTTAATTCTCGATTGGAGTAGTGGTTTGCTTTTGGAACATCTTAAGGACTGTGCAGTGCATTTTGTAAGCAGGGGTTGAGAAGAGCACAAAGGTGTCCAAGGAAGTAAGTGGTGGTGGTTTTGTGCAGGAAAATAACAGAAATAAAGAAAGAGCTTATTCTGTCGCTTATAGAGGAAGAGGGGGAAATGCATAGGCAGTAAGTCTAGGCTTTTGCGGGATTTGAGTAGCTGGAAAGTGTTGCCTTGTTAACAAGTATGCGGAGAAGAATATGGTGTTGAATTGAAATAGCAGAATAATGTGGTGCTAGCAATGTAGAGTCAATAAATTAAATCCTATCATAGGTAATTTAAGGGAAGTGATAGTCAAGAAGACCAGGGCTTATTTAGAGTCATGCCAAAAGAACAGTGCTTGTTTGATCTGGGTTTGTTTTCCTAACAGTTTTCTGGTAGTGGTAAGGTAATTTAAGTGAAACGTACTTGTCCCCTCCTAAACATGTAAAGAGAGTAAATGTGGTGTGTTCTCTGGCTATGGATTAACCACCTTGGTGGAATCCACCTTGAAATATTATTTTCTCTTTGTTTTGAGAAGGTAACTGCATTTCAGTAAATACAGTAATCTGTAAACTTTTCCTCTCTTTTTGTTTTAAGGGAATTGTTTAGTATAAACTCAAATATGACAAATGATGGAATTGTCAAGGTGATGCTGACTGTCATACTAGAAAGGCCTGGAAAATGTTCTTGTTTATTGTTGCATAATGCTTTCCACATCTTTCCAGCTGCTACGATCAATGCCAAAATAAGTAACGTTGTCTCCTCTGGAGCTTTTATGTGTTTTCACATTTACTTAGAGAACCATCCATCTTTAGCTTAAGCAGCTGCAAAATTTAGAGTCTCAGAGGACCCTAAGTTCAGGAGTGCAGTAAACTATAATTGCCTCCACCTGTCACTTTCCTTGTTCTTATTAATAGAAGAACTCTTGTCTGTGCTGCAATTGTATGTATCCGTATGTATTTTTGTTTTTAAGACTGTTCTAGAATCACGAGGACATTCTCTGTTTCAGTTATTCTAAATGTTGACTAGCTTTGGGATCCTTAATAATTAATGTCCTTTTTGAGGAGACTTGAGCTGTGACTGTATATGCATCACACTAAATATTGCAGAGGTACTCAGTTTTACTTATGGTTGTTATTATCAGCATGTGTACACGCTGCCTTCTAGCTGAACTGGTGAATCTTTAATACTTCTAAGCTGTAGTGAAACTTTCTCCCATTTTACCTCTGTCTGTCTGGTGCTGTCTTTCTCCTTCCTGTCTGTTAGTCCATATGAGACTTTGTGTTGAGTACCCAATTTCATAAGAAATAGCAATATTGTGGTACAGCAGTGATATAAACATGTATTGATGATTCGGTAACTGGTGAACAGCAAATGCAAAGTAGTTAATACGCTTATTTACTTTAAGAGTTTGCTCAAGTCTAGGTAATGTGGAGAAATGCTACGTCCCTATGCAGGGAGTTGTACCCCATTCTGTAATTATGTACCTTGGACTGGGAGGAAACAAGTTTATTTAAGTTAGCTTATACATACATGAATTAAACACATGTCTGCAGTATTTAATATTAATGTATTTTCCTTAATTAATGTTTTATGACTTTGCTGTGAACACCTTTATTCTAACACACTAAGTTTTCCATGTTTCTTTGCCTGCTTTCTCAACAAAGAGGATACTTCTGACAGGATGGATGGTAAGAAATTGTTTCGTCTGCCTTCTAATCCTAATAAATATTGTTAATGTCTTTTATGTAAAATACTTGATGTTTAATACATTTGTCTGTTGATTAACAAATTCTATACTGTTTTCATTAATCCTTGTATGATCTTGATACTATAATGTATGTGTTGTTCTATTGCTGTATTTGTCAAAATGCTTTGGATGATTGGTCTGGAAATTGGATGTTATTTCCATTTAAAAAAACCTACTAAATTACAGAATGATTCTGCCCTTTGATAGCTAGCTGTAGTTCCATCATGTTTTAGTTTTGCCTATCAAAACAAATTTTTGATTTTTTTTTCCATAATGTCAGTGGGAGAGAAGATGATTCTTGACAAATTGATAAGAATTTTTAAAATGAAACTAAAATTATCTCTTTAAAAAGTACTCTTACCAAAATCTAGAGTCTGGCTACCTAATTTTAACTGCCTATAAATTCTGTAATCGAATGTAATTCCATGAATAGCTCACTTAGAAGATCTACCTGTTCAAATAACTTACCAAGTAGTCCAGTTATGTTATAGCACTTTTTTCCCCTCGAGTCATTGTATTAAACGCCCTTAGGGAGTAGGCATATGTTTTTCATTGTAATTGCCAAACAGCTGAGAATCAGTCTCTTGGCACTTGGTAGTCTGTTTCAGGTATGTGTAAGTAATGCTTCCTATATCAGAAATCAGCTGAGTCCCAGCTTGGTGTCTGATAATTCTAATTATTGCTGGGAAACACTTTAAAAGGTGGTTATGCTTGCTACTCATTTAATAATTCTTGTTGCACGTATTTTAACAATTTCCTAGGGTGTTTAGAAGGATCAGTAGTTTACTGGAAGCAAAGCAAATGATATTTTTTCTTTCATGGATTATTGCATCTGATGAGAAAATAATTATACTAAATACGCACATAAGTGGAAACACTAGGAAGGAAGTTCTCCTAAAACCCTGAATCCCGAGCTACTTTTGGGAAGAATTTGAGCAGAGATTGAGCAAATATTGCAGGGGGTAACCCTGCTTTCATAAAATGAGATTTTTGTACAGTATTACAGTGTCTTTCTCACTTACTTCCATATCAAATTTCTGTGTTGCATATAGTAGGGTTTATTTCTAACTAGCTGTACTAAACTCTCACCCTGAGCTTTTGCATATTGTCACAAGGATTAAAGTTTCTTACAGCCAAATATATAGTTTATTCCTTTTGTTCAGGCCAAGAGTCAAAACTAGTGGAGGCACGCGTGTCTGAAAATAGTGGAGCAAGTGATACACGAGTGACTGAAACAGTCTTTTTCTACAGGATATCTGTAAGGATGAATGAGCACATCTTGACTTCCAGGCTATACGTTTATGATATGGCTGATCTGATCTTATTGCCACCAGGAGGAATTGCCTGTTTCTCCTTCCCTCACCAATCTTGGCCATGCGTTTTCACCGCTTCTTCCATGAGTGCGTTGTAACGCTCCGTTGTTAATCATTTTAGGGAAACAAACTCCAGAAGACTATTTCTGTAAAAACAAAAATTAATAGCATTCTGTTATTTAGCTTACTGCACTGATTGTCAGTGAGCCTTTAGCTGTCCGAATCAGATACTGGCACAAGGGTGGGGGAAGAAGAAGCAGAACCACCAGCCTCCTGTTAGACTGACTTAGCTATAGCATAGAACTAACTGCCTGCCAGGGTCCACGCAGGGAAGGATCTGCTCGTATTCTTTTGTTGGTTTCGGGGGAACAGGGGCCGCGCGGTTATATGCAAACTGGCAATTTTAATGTGGTAAGCTGAGGCATTTCTACAGACTGTGAAGTGCTTTCTGGTAGAAATACTGAGATTTGCACTGAGTTAAGTTTTAGAGGGGGCTGGTAACAATAGCATCTTGAAGGTATGACAGTATGGAAGAAGTCATACCCAAATTTGCTGAGAAGATTAAATTTGAGCTAGTGGAAGACACTAACAGGCATTTTAATCCTTACAGTTCTCTTACAAGACAGGAACGGTATTAGACTGAAAACAAAAATGGAGTTACCATTTGCTTTTTGAGGCATTCAACATCTTGTATAATAATCTGAAAATATTTTATTCCATAAACAGATTTGTGTTTCAAAGGAATCTCAAGAGAGGAGGAGTACTATGTAGACATCATTTCTTTTGTATTGATGTCAGCAATTTGATTTATTTGACTTATATTTTTATCATAAGTCAAGCCTTTTAAAGCTTGGCATACTTGTTCAAGTGTGATCTGGTTTCAGCAAGCTCAGCTTCTCTGAACAAAACTGGATCTCGTGTGTAGATGTTCAGAGTCATCATGGACTTAGTTCAGAAAAATCCTCCTTTCTCCCAGCTTCTATCAAATTATCTGTGTCCAGTTTGTGAAACACTGTCCCTCTGTTTTGTTTTTCTCAGGGGTAATTTATAATAGTATGTTCTATATTTTCCGAAGAAGTTGCACTAAACTATTTGATCTGGACATGTCATTTAGTTGACTTGGTCTCATACAATTTTTTTCCTATTGATTGTCAGTGTTTTTATAACAAGTTTAGAAGGCAGTGCTATATATTGTATTGCTGTAAATCACTATCAATGTAGTATTGCCATTTCTTGATATTCCACTTCAAAGACAGAGTTGCAATACAAGCACTTTAGACCTCTTCCTAACTCAATAAAATCTGTTGAGACGCATAAGATTATTAATCTCAAAAAAGAAATTGAAGAGAAATAGTATTGTTTGGAATATCATGTATTTTATTATTTTTTCTGTTTAGGAACAGCTTCTGAAGATGGTAAGAAAATGCTCTGTTAGAATAGCTGATATTTTCAGCTTCATGTTTTCATTGATACAAACTAAGTTTTAGAAGTAGACTTGGGTCTTTCTGGGGCTTTGTGGAAGTTCATAACTCCATATGGCTTATGCATCTAATACTCGGTTGTCATGTAGCATTTTTAAAATTCTTTTGCTTTATAATTTTAATTCTCAAGCTCTCATCTGCAGTAGAAGTGTCATTGCTTAACATTTTTCATGTGGAAAATATAGGAGCTTTATAGTTTTGCTTTTTTTTGTGGCTCTTGTCACTGAAAATTTCATCAAATGTGCTCATGCTCTGGGAAGCAGGTGCTGCTATTCATCTCTTTGAGACTTGGGAATTTGTTTTCAATATGCTATTAAAATATTTAAACCTGTCATTTAGAGAATAAATGTAAACTCTAAGCGAGTTAACAATTCATTTGCTTCACAAATACAAACTTTTTTTTTTTACTTTAATTAAAATTGAACCAGGTTCCAAGTGATAATTTAAAACAGTATCCAAATAGTGGCACTCTGTATTCTTACAATTTTTGGGCCAGATTCTAAACACAGTTACGTGCCTTGCAGTCTCACAGCGTTCAGTGGGAAAACATTGCCATTGCACGGGGATAACTAGTAGAGTTTGGACCAGTTACCTTAAACTAGTATTGCTAGCACACTGTTTTCTAATAACTTGGTGAATAACCTCCTTGTTTCTGACTCTCTTCTTAATAGACTCTCTTCTATGGCTATTCCCTCTACTTGGATGAATACTATTAACTTGGTTGATCTCCAAATTCTGCTGTGGAAAGCCTGAAGAGACTAGAACTATATAAATAAAGTCTGTGTGTCTAGTTCTTCTGGGTCAAATATTGACTGTACACATCTGGAAAACATTCCAATTCTGCTGTTTTAAAATTTGAATTATTTGCTGAACTAGATCCATGCTGTATGAGCTTTGGGAGTTTTATTATTGCAACTTTTAAAATTATGATTAAACTGCTTGATTTGTTTTTGTTTTGTTTTTCTGTAGTTTGGGAGGTTGGCTTAGGAAATGTAGTACCGAACTTTGCTTTCAGGACTGATCTTTCAGTTACTTGTCATTCATCCAACTGGGGTCTTCCTTTCTCTAGTAATTTCGTCGTACTCTCTGACTATTGTGAGGAACATGGCCAAAAATGCACAAAGGTTTAACCCAAGTACAAGATGGCCTGACGTTCTGGAGAAGTGAATTCTACTGTTGTCTGTTGTAGATAACTCTTAATCTCTCTGTTCCTCAGTCCTCTCATCTGTTGAAGAGAGTAGGACTTCATTTCATACTGACACCGAGTTGTGCTTAGGTGATCTCTGCAAAGTGCTATAAATGTCTTGGGAAATCCCATAGACTTTTACATTATTACATCCGCGGTCAGGAAGGCAGTAGAATTGTCGGTAATAGGAAAGTTAGTATTTAGATTTCAAAAAAAAAAGAATGCTGTTAGGAAGAATTCTTAGAACCCTATTCAAAAGATAATCAAGGTTAGCTTTGTCGTTTTAGGATAGCAAAAGTAGAATTATAAGCACGAATAATTGAGATGACTGTACCTGTTACATTAGTCGTACCCATTTTCTATTATTTCTATTTAATAACATTATCTTTTGTAATAAAATCAACCTATTCATGTAGGAAGCAACTTGCTAGTTTGGGGTGTTTAAATGGTAATGTGCAAATTCTTTACTGAAGCATGTAGAATCAGAGGAGAAATATTTTGATCCTTCAAGTGTTAAATCCTTGAAGGTTTTAAAACTTCTACTAATTATCCCAAATGAATTTTTACTGATTATGTAATGCTTCACTTTTATCTACAGACGGTTAATAAAACATTAGTAAATGCTTCTGATGTTTTGCTTTCCACATTACTGTGGACAAATTGTTTTGATATCGCTTTTATTTTATAGGACGTGTACGAACAAAGCTTTCAACACCATCTGTTGGTATCGGAAATTCTAAAACAGATTCCAGAGGACGAAGTAAAACCAAAGTGGTCTCTCAATCTCAGCGTATGTATTTTCTGTTTGTCAGTTATACCCAATAAAGAGGCCAAATGTTTAAGCATATACTCATTGACCAATGGCTACAGTCAAAGTTAATTTTAAAAAAAGAAGCTACATACTGAGTTGTTGTTCTGTGCCTTAGGTTCATCATCGCCAGACCAAAATGAAGGTATTTTTTTCAGTGTTTTGGGTCAGTGGTATTTGCATGCTTTTTTAATTCATGTTGTTTTTCTCTGGGTAAAATACTAGGTTCAGTCTTAGCTTGCCAAATAAATTTAACAGCGTAATAAGAAATGAAATCTGTCCCTAAATTCTGTCTTCAATTATAACGTCTCAACATTCTTTTTCCCCCCCGATTTCTGCCTGTCTTTTGCTGACACCCCCTTCCTCTCCTCCCAGAAAAGCCCATCCCACCAATAAACTTCTGTATCAGTTAAATATAATACATGGCCAAATAATAAGGAAAAGTGGGTAGGCTGGATGGTGTCTTCAAGATTACCTGTAACAACCTAATATTTCTTTTTTCAAAAAGTCTTATCTTTTTAGGCAGAAGTACCTGTTTTCATTTTAAGCTAGGCAGTACTCTTAACTCTAGACTGTTTACTCCTTTTTATATTATAGCCATTACCTTTATTTAACTCTTCTCTGAAGTGAAAATATTGAACTGAACCTTTATAATCCCTTACTTAGCTTATAAGGGTCAAAGGGTCAAAACAAGCAAATTACCATATGACAGCTGATCCACAGTAATTTTCTATCTGTATTCTCTAAACCACAACAAATGCAAAACGGTTGACATAGTCCTTGGTCATTAATTAAAAAGACACAATTGCGTAACACTTGCTGTGGGTAAGTGGTGATGTTACTGATGTATTGGCTTACCTATGGCAATTTGTTCATGTTTCTGGGGTCTCCAACAGACCTCTGACTAACATTCCTGTAGTGTTCTCAGATGTTACTGTTCTTGTCTCTGTCCCAGCTGCCTGTTACTGTCTTCCAAGCTGAGCTGGCAGAATGAGCTTCACCTACTGCAGTTTTCTATCTGGCCAGTATGTAGGCTTCTGTCAACAGGACCTGGGATATTGGTATATTATATCAAAAGGGAAACAGAGTAAAATGCTGGGCTACCAAAGCAGCTTGAGGTGAATAAACAGGGGTCTTTTTTCTGCCACCTGTGGTAAACAAGCAACAGCTACTCTCAGAGGCACGGAGGACATCATCTGCTAAAATTAAATTCTGCAGAAAATGATTTTGGAGCCCTCGGGAAACACACCGGTGTTCTAGGCATTAGCACATAATTTCAGAATGGATAAAGATGTACAGATGTGTATATGTATGTGTGTATGTGAATGTATATATATATACACACACACACACATGCACTATATTAAATAGGTGGTCTGTATCAGCATGAGACTTGAGTTTTGCATTTGAAGATTCACTTTTTTGGTACAGATAGGAACTTTCACTCCTGTATCAGTAAAAGAAAACTAGATCACTTTTGGAATTAAGATAATTTACTTAACCTATAATTTTCAGAAGAGAAGTGCATTAAATGACTGAATTCAATGAAATACAATGAAATTAATGAAATTAAATAAAGAAAAATTAACAATGACATTAAGAAGAATTGACCACTCTTGTAGTGTGGCAGCTGTAATGTTTCGAGGTCAGTGAATTATACAGATTTTGAATTTTCTAGTGTGATTATTGCCCTATGCCAAACCTTATCCTCTTTTTTTAAATAACACTTAGTTCTGCATTTAATGGCAGAAACCTTTATCTTCTTATCAGTGACTGTATTATCATAACTAGAATGACTTTAGAGGTCAAAGAAGCACCAAAGGCAATTAACTTCAATAATTTGAGAAGAGTTTGTTTTGGACTTTCTGTGTTAGAGTACTTAACATTGCTTTCAGGACAGATCTCATTTTCCATCAAATATAGCTGGATAAAACTTGATTCAATACTTGCAGGTTTTATGAAATAAAGCTTTCAAAAATCTGAACAGAAAGGTTCAGATACTTTTAAAAAAAAGTTAGTAATAAAAGTTCTCGTAATAAATTTTTCCTAGGTAGTGCAGTAGTCTCACAATTCTTTATGGGATGAGTGCTTGCAAAGAAAGCCTATAACAAAGGTTGTGCAAAAATTTTGTATTGCTATTAAAAAAAAACTATATAGTTTTTAATATTCTTTAAGCAAAAAAAATTGGATTAATAATTTAAGAGAAGAAAAAAATTAGTCCCATCAAATCACTTTTTCACTCTAGGAAAGGCAGTGGGCAATATTTGTAATACTCTTAAATAGTACTAGGAAAGTTCCGAAATAAGCTTTTTGAAAATAGCCTAATACCTTGAGGAATATGATAAAATCTTAACAAGTTAGGGTGGTTAATCAACTGTTTGAGGATGTTAAATTTAAGTAGTAATCTAAAACTTCTGTGGCTGTCATTGTCATATCTCATTAATATAACTGATTCTGCATATTCAGAGAAATAAAAGCAGAAACTTTTTCAGTTGCATTTTTGCAAATAATGGCAGTTTTTTCTAAGAGAATTCATTTTTCACAGTAGTAATGTCTAAAGAGATGAGTTGAACTGCTGTTGAAGTAACTGGAATACCCTTACATATGATATGTGAAAATTAAATACATGAACTTTTTAGCCTTTTACCACTACTTCTGAACAGACCTGATGCCTTGAGATAACTCATTATAACCTTTCAGTGGGGGAGACTAAGAATTCTGAGATGTTTTAAGGAAGATAAACAGGGCAAATACAAATGGACAGGTGAAGGGGAATTGTCATGCACTGTACGCCTGCTATTTGGGTGATGCTTTTTTATGTAAATGAAAAGTTTTACGGCCTTGTTTTGCAGCAAGATGCTCAGTGTTTTCATACGGGGGATTATTTTAGTTCCCCCACTAACAGTAGGTTTTATATTAGAATTTAAGCTTGTATTTCTTAAAAACCACTGTACTGCAGATGGTTTTGTAAATTTAGGGTTAAAATTGTGCTTCTGTTTAAAGACCATTATATGAAAGACTTGCAAATTTGAATACTTTTACAAAAATATTTATGTTTAGGACTTCAGAAGCCCTTTTCTACTGCTATATTCAAATTGTAACATATAAGAAATGCATATACAATCTACATCCTACATTATTTTATTCTTATGAATGGACAAATTTGTTTTTTCTTTTCCTTTCTGTTTGGTTGTCAGGTAATTCAGCAAGATGTGCTACAATTATGTAATAGTCTCAATTCAAAGAAAAATAATAAAATTTCTGAATGGAAACAAATTCTTATTTTCAAACTTCGGATGAATTATGAAAGAGAAAAAAAAATTATATGCAAGTCTTTTCAAATGTGCCATTGTGAAAGTTCTTTTTGTCATTCACCCCACCTGCAGCTCAGTTCCTTTACTGTCTGTCTCAAACAAAAATTATGTTTTGGCCTTGCGTGTAATTTTTGTTCAGCTACTGAACTTTTAAACTTTTTTTTGACAATCTAATTCTCTTTTAAAGTAATTTTGAAGGCTAAGAATTTCATGTTTAGTTGAAATTTAATTCTTCAGTATTATCCAGTTGTTAATTAGAAAGCTGAAGAATTGTAATTTGCTTGTGCAGCTTTGCTTCATCTGCTTTGTACATAGCATCTGAGCTTAGTACTTCAACTATGGAAGCTACTTAAAAGCACTGCTTTAGCATAACTCCCTTGCGGCTTTTTTTCCTGTGTGAAATGACTAAAGCTTTCTTATTTCCATTTGCCATCCATTTTTAATCTGCTCTGCTCCCTCCCTCTTCATGGATTATAAACCCCTACCCTAATCCTGCCTTTACACTTGTTCAGGATCACAGTCTGCTAACCCCATTGGTGGTAAGAGTCTACAGAATTTGTGTATACGTCATTGTTTGATCACCTGTTTACATACCTCATTTAAGGGTCCTATTCAGCAGAAATTCTAGCACGCTTTTCCATATCCTGCGCTGATGTATTCATTATTTAGAAGGCAGTGGAGGTGTGGCACGTTTAGCAGCTGGAATACCTTTTTAGTAACTCCCTTTTCTTTCAGCGTTGGCTTCAGTTCTTTAGCTGTGCTACGGCTGACAGTATTGATGATGGTATGCCAATGCCATTGTTTTTTAGGGTAATATTTTCAGGCTGTTAAGCTTCATTTGGTGGATTTGGGCTATAGCGGCACGCTTTGCAGGTCAGCCAGATGGAAAGATAAAAAGTAGTAGAATGAGAGGATGCATTCCATCAGTATATTTTGAGAAGAGTAAATTTTCAGGTTTGATAAGCTATTTAGGAGAACCAGACTCTGGTACAGTGAATAGTTTTCCAATATTTTACTGTTTTATAAAAAGATGTAAAATGTGGGGTGGAAGGGGGAGAAGGAGGCATAGCAGTATCACAGACGTCTAAGTTGAAATGCCCTAATAGGAAGAAGTTGCCAAACTCTTAATTTTTGCAGAATATTTTCCCCGCTAGTTTTCTCAATTGTTGTTTCTAGCCTGTATAATATTGCACGTAGCATTTCTGCTGAATAGGTCCATAGTTTAGAAAATAGCATTTTACTAAATAATCATTTCAAGTTTGAATTCAAACAATGAATCAGAAAGTATATGCATGGTTTTAGTCTCTCCCGTCCACCTAGTACATGTTTTATTTGGTTTTGGATTTATGTGTTTTTTTTTTCTTTCCACCATATTGTCAAGCTTTAATCAGCTTATATCTTCTTTAAACATGCCTGTGGCTTTTTTTGTAGTGGTGTGTTTGCTTTTTAGTTGCTGCCAATAGTCCTTACATAAGTGTTCCATGAAAGTCACCTGAGATGTTGCATGATAAGCTTATAGGTCTGATAGCATAGCTATGGTCATACAGTTACCTGATTGTTTAAAGGATAATTAAAAGTTTCATATCTGTCATGTAGTTAACTTTTAATTAAAAATAATGTTTTGCTTTATAATTGGTCAGACTTCCTTTAAATTCTGAAGCTGGAAACAATAATGAATGTATTTATATGAACTGATGGTATAATTGATCAGAGAAGAATGGATTGTTTGTTAGGGTTTAAAGTTACTTTCTTCATAACTGGACTATCAAAGGGTGGAGATAACTTAGGGATCACTGACTAGTTCCTGGTAGCGGGTACCGTGTACCAAAATGAACAGTTACTGTACTTTAAAATGTACAGTTTTGATTACACTTAAGCATGTTACCTTCTTACTAATGTATTGATCAATTTTTTTTAGCTTGTTTATTTAAAACAAGTTTCCTTTGAATCTGTGGAATAACTTCCACATAAGTGAATGTGAATGTTTCCGTTGTCTTTAGAGACGTTTAGATTCAACTTTTGGAGAGAGTAGTGCTTGAACGCTTTGAAAAGCTCAAGAGAAGAGTTTAAATGTTAGGAAAAAGATAGTAAATTATTTTATGATATTGGTTGCTCTGAAGGAACTTGGATGATTATAAAATCACTGGTTTAAAGAAGGACAGTTGGCTCCTAGCAATTTGTTTGTGTTTTTTCTTTTTTTTAATGAGTCTAGCAAGGCCATGTAGCTTGTAGCTTAGAAAATGAACATGCCAATCTTCATATTAGGAGTATTACAACTGTTTATGAATACTAGAAATATTATTTATGGTTTCTTGAGCATATGTAGTACTAAACGTCATACAAGGTGCTTCTGAGCTTGCATTAATAATTCGGTGTACCTTGTATATAATGTTTTAAGAACTTGTACCGGATTGTTCTATTTTCACATTTTTACCTTGTAAGCTCTTCCAGACCATTTCAATGTGCCACCATTTTTCCTACTAATTTTAACTGTGTTTTTTTTTTTTTTAAACTTGGTGGTTAATATTCTGTGCTGTTACTTATATTTATTCATTTTGCCTTCAGCTGGCAGTAGATCTGGATCTCCTGGAAGAGTTTTGACAACAACTGCACTTTCCACTGTGAACACAGGGGTTCAGAGAGTGTTAGTGAATCCTGCAGCTGCACAAAAACGAAGCAAAATCCCACGAAGTCAGGGATGCAGTAGAGAAGCTAGTCCTTCTAGGTTGTCAGTAGGTAAGAATTGCTAAATAACTGTTTCCTTATAGAACTTCTTACTCTTAAGTGTTGAATACCTACAGCTTGCCCTTAATTACAGGTGAGTGGCAAAATTAGAACGCCTCTAGACAAAAGTTTAAAATTTGCCTATACTCTGATACTAGTCTTGGATATATGAGACAGCTTTAAACTTAAGCTGAAGTGTTTGCTTTTTCCTGGCAGAATGCAGTAGTAGTTTTTTGGGGGTCTTTTTAACCTTTCTTCCTTGTTTTCTTCCTTCTCTCTCCTTCTTTTCTCTTCTTACCTCCAACCCCAAATGACCCACATCCATTAAATGAAAGCGTGATGTTATTTTGAATAGATAATTTTCTTTAATTGTTACTTTTGTGTGTCTTCTGCATATGTGTGCATGCATGTGCGTATACTTCTGTTACACAAAGATGAATGTCGTGCTTCCTAAACCTTGTGGTATAACCTGATTACACTTTATTGAAAAATATCAGTTGATTTCAGTGGTGTGGCTGCTGTTCTTTGTTTTGTATTTTGATTTTTACTTTAGCTGTATTAACTGTATATTTTCCTTGTTTGAAAGCTGGGATGTTTCCGTTAGCATTACTGTTGTTTCAGTTAACTAGACCTTGAGCACAATTTCTGAATTAATTGCTCAGTGTCTGTTTTTTTCATTGTTTGTTTCCTTTCCATCTTTTTCAGTAGTTTTTCGATCTTTCTGTAAAGAGTTGGTAAATTCACATTATTAGCTGAGAAACAATTTTGCTGAACTGGCTGCAGTTAGTATAATTCAGCACAATCAACAAAGTGTCTGAAAACAGTTACTACTTATAATACAATATAATCAAGTCAGTGTCTTTTCATAGAAATACATCTTTGATCTTACTGAAAAACAGGATTACATTAAAACTGCAACTGTTCTTATGTCTTCTCCCTTCTGTGCTGCTGTTTGTCTGTACCCTGAATCATACTAGCGCGAGGCAGCCGCATTCCTCGGCCTAGTGTGAGTCAGGGGTGCAGTCGGGAGGCCAGCCGTGAAAGTAGCAGGGACACAAGCCCTGTCCGCTCTTTTCCACCCCTTGGTAAGTACTCAGAGCCCCTTGTTGTGCATGGCTGTCTTTGCCCTTCATTATGTGCACCTAACGAACCCATGCCGCCTTCATTTAGCTTGTAGCAGGCCACCGTTATTTTCCCTTTCTTTGTCTCACTCACTGTTTACTTTGGAGACTTGACCAATGTGTGAATGGGTTGCACACTGGAAAAAAATAAATGCTTTGCTAGCATTAGTCTTATACTACGTACCGAGAGTCTGCAAAGATGAGCGGTGCATAGTGCCTGGGTAGATTCTGAAAGGACAGTTCTGCCCTTTGAAAATGTGTTTGTGTGTAGGTTTGTGGAGGGTGTGGGTGTGTGGTTTTTGTGGTGGTGGTGGGTTTTGGGGGTTTGATTGTTTTTTTTTTTTTTTTTTTTTTTTGGTTTGTTTCTATTACCGTATTCATCGCTTGGTACGGTTAGATAATCCTTTTCTCACTGATTGGGCCAGCTAGTGCAGAGAAAATAGTTTGACTGTCATCCCCCCACCTTCCCCTGTTTCAATAGCTGGGATCTGTTGATGTGAAAAATGATTCCCTAGTCAGTGAATCATTTTACTGATGTATAAGAAGAAAACAGGCTTTGTTTTGTCTCCTTAGCTGTGCTGCTATCACTGTGCTATGCATAAAAAATAACAACAACTTACGATAACGTTATACTATTTATATTTTTTATGTATACCTGTCATATAATATACTTATTTATATATGTAGTATCTTAAAGCAAGTGAATGTGACAATGCAGATAAGGGCCCAATCTGCTGAAGCAGAACTGTAATCTAAGGCTGCTTGATGTTTTCTAGAAATAAACGGGGAAAGTAGTGAGGTTCTTATCCAAGGAGGTGAATCAGAGCATGGTTCGGAAGTTTACTTTTAATCTTGTGTAAAAAAAACAGTGATAAGTAACTGTAGTAAGAGCTTCCATTAGATTAGACAATAAAAGAGGATTTGAAAACTTTTTAAAGTTCACATCCATATAGCCATTTTCGGTCCTCATTCCTTAAGGTACTGTAAGCAGAAGTTTCCTTTTCACTTAGTGTTTCAGTTTATTGGCCAGGCACAAGATTTTGCAAAATTGTTAAGCTGATATCCATTTCTGAAATGTAAATGACGCACAGGGAACAATAGCTTATAATTACTTTAACATGCTATAGGCTAAGGGTTTAGGGAGACTTCTCATGTCCGTGTATCCTTTTAAAGGTTGCTACAAAGTTGGTAGCACATTTTGATAAAAGTATCTTAGATGTTGGGTGTTTTGATTGCTTTTGTAGTACAAAACTGTATCCGTAAGACTACGGCTAAACCTGATCTTTTCTGGAGAGATCTTTTCTGAGGTAGTCTTCAGTGTGCATCCCTCTTCTCTGTTTCTTCATGTTTAAGTGTAGTTTACAATTAAGGGCACTGTAATTTAATAAAATTAGTGTATTCTGAAAATAGTAAATCTCTGATTTCTGTTTTAAGTTGAGGCAGTCTACTGTACTGCTAATTAGCACTGGAAGTCTGTTGTGGTCTATTAAGGCAGTATGTTTCCTGTCAGCTATGGGTTTTTTTGGGGAAAGCACAGATTAATTGAATGAAAGCTGTTTCAATGACTTTTGCTGATTTACACAGATGTTTTTTAATTGGGAAATTGAATTAAAAGTAGACATTATACAGGCTCTAATAAACTTGTATCTTTTACTAAAACACAGCTGGCAGATTGTGTTGTACTATACATGTGTCTTTTTTAACGGTATTTTCCAGATCCTTTAGTGCTTCTTTTGCCATCCTATAGCTTGAATTCAATTGCATGCATGCAAGATCTGATTTACATTTAATTTTCAGTCATGTGCTCATTATTTTAAGAAATCTGTATTGCACTAATGCTGTAATAATGATAATTGTTGGGTCGTGAGGGCAGATGCTACTTGAGGTTTTATTTTTACTGATGAAGTTTTTTCCTTGTGTTCACAAATTGGAACAAAAACCTATACAAATCCAGTAGGCTGTAGTGTCTGATAGCACAGAGAATGCAATGTAGCATGTATGGGAATCCGGAGTTAATAAAAATAGCTGTACCTGAAATAAATAAGGATTTCTTGTTCTATCAGTTCTAATTTGATTGACTTCAATGTCATTCAGTGTTTTGTTGTACCAATTTTGTCTTATGGGATGTAATTAACTTCCATTAAAGACACTAATATATTTTTCAGGGATAGGAAAAAAAAGATGGAATGATTAGGCAAATTCATCTCTATATGTGTAACTAGACAGTTTTACATGGCTCAGGGGAAAATGTCATTTATACCATGTCTAGTTCTCAGTAGAGATTTTTTTATGTGTGTGTATGCGCACAAATACTGTGCCCTTTTGGGCACAAAATGACCCAAATGTCACATAGTTGCGCAACCCTATATACATTCGCATGAATGTTTCTGTAATCTCACATCTCAGTGTAAGACTACAAAGTAGGAGATACAGCCACTCTGAGAAGCAAGTGATTTGTAATTTATATGGAAGTCTATCTTTGTTACCTGCAGTAAGTGTTAAATATCAGACGAGGATAACTTCTGTATTTTAGTCAAGAAGTATATTAATTTGAGTTGTTTTAGTTTTTTAAATAATCCATATTTTGATTTGTCTTTTAAAAAATGAAACAAAAACAAAAGTAAATACTTCGACGGTCTCTGCTGCTTGAGGGGTTGAAAGAATATTCTTGAAAAAGCTTGAAGTGAAATCCTTTTGATCCAATATACTGCTTCCTGTCACTGCCTCAGAAATTTTTCTTGCATATTTGAAATATTTATGGAGACAGGGTCATCTTAAATTGTATGCCTGATGTTTAACTTCTTAATTGTTCCTTTAATTTTGAGGGCTTGTTGATGGAAAATTATTACAGATTTATCTATTATTACTTGTATTCAAAGCCCTTTCAGTCTTTCTGCTTGTATTTTTTGGCGCACTCTATCCTGTCTTCTTTTCCGTGCTGGGACATACTTTCTGAAGAACCAAGTATTCCGTAAAGTATTATCTGCAAAATAAAATTTCATAGCTAAACAACTTCATGCATGCGTAGTTTGACAAAAAATATTTTGCTAAACCTTATGTAAGAAGTGTAGAGTGCTTCAAGTGAAAAAACACAAATGTTATTTCCAGGATCTTTAGAGGGCTCAAGATCGCTTTGGAGTTCACTCAGGTTAAGAGGTGCTCAAGTGTGATTCTGTCCGTCCTGTGGTTACCTGATTCAAATCAGTCTTAAATTGCATATGTGAAACAGAGTACAGGATGATTCTTAAAGTAGTAAGAATAGAAACCAGGAATTGTGTGTCCAGAAGATAAATATTTGTGTTTATGGTTAAATACTAAATTGTAAAATTGTATCTGGGATTGATGTTGTTGTGGATGGATATCTGAATTCAGTTAAAAGTGGCAAAGCGAATTTCGTTTATATACCTGTGGAACTGTACTTTAAGTGAAGTGGAGAAAGAAGATGACTTGTCTAAAAACACACTGAATTTAAAATGGATTGGTTAAAGAAAGAAGATGGTAGCTATATGAGTGAACTTTTTTTAGGATCTCTAGAAGGCCAATTTTATACAAGTGCCAGAAGGAAGAGGAGGATACTTTTTATTCCAAAGTCCTTAAGGATGTTTGGTTCCCAGTTTCCATTACCTTAAAGAATTTTAATGAGCTATGGTAACATGTGGCATACGTGTCTCAATTTCACATTTTACTTCTTTAAACAAAAAAAAAATTAAAACTGTGAAATTTTGCATTACATTATTTTAAACTTTTAATTAAAATATAATAATGTAAATTTTCACCTACAAAGTGGTGACTTTTAGCTGAGGTTGATTTGCCTGCACATAGGAAGAGCAAGTTATTGCAAATTGCAACAATCACTTTTTGCAGATAATTGGTTGATACATGAGCTCTGGCTCTCTGACTTAAGCGTGGAGGGTTCAGTTAACTCTGCAGTGGAAAAACAGTATCGGTGTAACTTTTTAGATACTTCTGAGGCTTCTCCATGTGTGCACATCTGCCTATTTTTTCTTCTTTGAACTTATACTTGCTTTTAATCAACTCTTAATCTTTTAAATTAGAAAGAAAAAATATTAAGTATGAAATGCCCAGTATACGCAAGCCTGTTTGTTCTGAATTGAAGAGCTTTCCTGAAGCTTTTTCTTCTTTGTAGTGTTCAGTTTCTTGCACTAAAGCTGAATCTCTTTGATAAATATTTCTTTTGTTCATCTAAGCAATTATTGCAGTACTCTGACTCCATGGTAATAGATAGGGTTTATATGATCCTGTACTTGCAGCTTCCAGACACCACTCCAGATCCACTGGTGCCCTCTACGCTCCCGATGTTTATGGGGCTGCAGGTGAAGGATGAGTACACTTTGCTGTCATCTGTGCAGTCATCCTGGATTTTTTTTTTTTCTCCACCCACTTGGTTATCCTCATAGTTCAGTTTTAAAAAGCATTTGCATTAGAATTTTGTGTTTTTAATAATCCAGGTAGATGTGTATATGTTTTAGATTTTCCTCTACCCCACCATGTTGTTCCTTTTTTTTCTTTTTTTTTCCCTTAACAATAATCACTTTATTTTTACTTGCAGAAGGACTTTGTTTCTAGAAGTTTTACATTTTTTCAATATTTGTAGAGCATTCTTTATGCATGTAGTTTTCTAATCGGAACTCTCGGTAGCCTTTCCATTGTATTTACTTTCTTTCTAAACAAAAACCCAAAATGAAGAAGATACGTTAACTAATGGATGTTGTTTAAAAAATAAATGAAAAGGGGGGAAAAAAGCACAGTCCTAGGTTCTTTCAGTTAAAACCATTGTTTCCTTTCTTTTGGGACATTGGAATAGATTATTTGGTAAATGTCTTTGGTTTTTGTTTTGTTCATATTTTTGCTGTACCACTAAAGACTTCAGAATAAAGATAGCCACTATATTTTAACCACTACATAATCTATTAGAAAATGTTAAGCAAATACTTTTCTTCTGCTTGGGTTTTTTTAAGCGAGTGTGAAATTAAGTCCTATGTTGCTATTCTGACTGATTTTTTTTTTTTTTTAATATTCATTTTTGCTGTTGTTGTAACAGGTACAGGCTTTGGAATTAGTCAGTCGAGCCGATTGTCATCGTCAGTTAGCGCTATGCGAGTGCTGAACACAGGTTCTGATGTGGAAGAAGCAGTAGCAGATGCTTTGGTAAGAATCTCGTGTTTATCTTAAGTAGGACACAGACTTAAAATGCTTGGTAGCTATGTATTAAAATATGCAGAAGAATTTGTCATTTATTATTGGCTTCTAGGTGGGAGAGGGGAGAGAAACTGAGTTACTGCTGCACAGTATTGGTATTTTTTTCATAGGGGAGTTTTGAAAGAAGTACATTGTCCATGGCAGACAGGAAATAGGCTTGGGCTGTTCTGTTGGGAGCGGCTGCCACTTGAGCAGGTAGCACTAAACAGCAGTTTTCCACAGCAGCTAGGCAGAATTCTGGGTACCTTGAAGTTGTTGGTAGCTTCCCAGAGCAGGGAATGATGAGAGCTCTGGGATCCATTTGAAGTTGTTCTGTCCAGCAACACGTGAGGTTGATGCTGAGGAGTTAAACCAGTGGCCTGGCAGGCAGCATTTCCTCTGTTCAGTTTTTGAGTTGTTTTGTTTTCAAAACGTTACTCTGAATTTTTAACGGGTTTTGCAATTCTCCTTCTTAACCTTACAGTTCCTTAAAAAGGTTGTCTTGGCGTCTCCGCTGTGCCCCAGTTAGTCAAACTGAAAGTGTACTCTGTGTATTTTGTTAGTCTGACCTTTACATCAGCAAACTGAAATCTTTGATTAATTTAGAATACTAATACTGTGAGTTTTCTAAACTTTTTTTATGTAGTGTAGACTGATGTTTGCGTGTCACCATGTATTTGTGTGTACCTGTTATCTAGCTCTGAGTGCTTTAAGGTATTTGTTATTACTTTGTTATAATAAAAAGATTGGCACACTAGTAAAAAACTACAAATTAGACTTTAAGAACAGTTAGGTATCTCTGGATTCAGAGAGAAACAAATTTTTAAAGAAAAAAGAGTGTGGCTCTTTCAAGTCAATCATGTTCATAAAGTCTGGCAATTAATTGATTTCTTGGTTAGTATTGTCTCCTTGACACATTATTGTAAAACTTGTGTGCCTCCATTGGCATGGAGATTATTACATCTGTGAAATCCTGCCTCACAGATTGTGGTGTGGCTGATCATTTTTCTTCCTTTGTAAACTTCCTTTGTAAACTTTCATCCTTGTAAACTTCTAAAAATTTTGAGCAGAGATCTGAAACAGTATTTAGTAAACTTGAACCCAATCTGAATTTTTTTTTTTTAAGTTGCCTTTTGATGATAGGGTACGGTACAAAAGCAGTCCGCAGCTCATGAAAAGCCCGTAGGCTGTAATTTGAAAACCTCTGTAATAGATTTATCCACATTGCTGTTGCACAAAGACTATCTGTAGGGCTTCTAGCAGCTTCATAGCTTATTCAAATTTTTGTCAAAGCATGGACTAGAGATATAAATTGAGGAGAAACCCATGCTCCCAGAGATTACTCTTGAGACTTGAATGTCTCCTGCTTTGTTGAAGCAATGAAGTTAATTCATAGGAACTGGTTTGTATTGATGTTTATAAAAGCATCATGCTATTTTCTATCCAGGTAAAGAGAAAATTGTGTGTATTTTAACTGGAATCTACTGTAGCAGAAAACTTGATCAAGAACAAGATTTTAGTAGTGTAATATTAGCTTGTCTACTGTGCCTGCTGTGCTCTAAACGTGTATAGATTGTCCTGTACAGAAGGCTTCATTTGGATGGAAATCTGGTTATGAATGCCCTTTTTTGTTGTACCATAGACTGGACCCCCCACTCAGAACGGTGGTTTTTGAGAAGTAGAATGTAGACTCCTGACACATATAAATTAAAAATCAAAAATATTTTGAATTGCATTGCTATTTTTATGATATTCAAGATACCATATTTAAAGGCCATCTATAAGTAATACCGCTCCAGCCAGAGGTCATCAGGAGGCAGGAAATGTAACGGTATGGTGGTCTTGACATATTTTAATGCGTATTGCTCTGGTGCAGCCGGGAAGGAGAAGTCTAAAGTAAGAGCTTCCCAGCCATCCTTGAAATTTCCAATTTTTTTCTTTTGTTTTTATAAATCTTTACTTTTTATGGTGACCTTTTTTTAAAAAAAATGATAACACTTTTGTGATTTTTATCCCTGCCTTTACTCTCTTACATGTACATGTGTGCATGTACTGTTGAAAACAAGTTATTAGTTACATGATATATTAAGCTGTTTCTTTTGAGATATTTGTTAAGTTTTTGGCAACTAAAAATGAGAACCTCATGCGAATGCTAATGATAACTAAGGGAAAAATGTTCACTTACAGTTGTTCTTTGAATAGATAATCAGAACACTAACTATTTGCTTCAACTTTGGAGTTTGAATGGCAAGATGCTTCTGCAGAGGCGTGTATTTTTGCTGTTATGATAGCATTTTCTTTTGCTAGCCTTTGGCCTGTTGATTTTGGGGTTTTTTACAGGGCTTGGGATTTTGCATTATGTAATTAATTTTTTATAGGATATGTTGACTTCAGTAGCAATTGTTGCAGTGAAAAATTTAAGGTTTTTAGGTGTTGAAATGAATTTATTTGAGAAGACAGACATGGAGAAGTTAATGGGAGAATAAAATTTAAATGGACATTTCCTACCTAGGTAGCATTTGACTGCATGTATTAAATCTTCCAGCCTAAGCAAAACTGCATAAGACAAAAAGATTTTTACAGAGAGGTTTCTTTTGTGAAGAACTAGTGGAAGATACCATGTAATATTTCTCTGGAAATGGTAAATTTGAAAATGTTTGTTGGTAACACGTGATACTCTAATTAGATACTGAGAGCTAAGAACAAAATTTACAGTAAGGTTTTATGTTTTCCAGTGGCAAGTAATATAATAGTCACAATACTGCTGTGCCTTACCTCCCTGTTCTCAATTTCTCTGTTTCTCTTTAATAATTTACTGCTATCAGCTCTTAGGAGACATACGGACTAAGGTATAGAAACTATTTTCCTTCTTCACTAGTTTAATATTTTACTATTAACATATTTGGTACAAAATAAGTTAAAATGGTAGAATGTGTCATTTTAGAGCTGTTTCTTATATTCTGTTATATGCATAAAATTAAGTGAAATAACTATTTTTCAATACAATTTTTGTCATCCTACCTCATGCAGTTGTATGGATTTTGACAAGTAAATTTAAAGTGGAATGTTAGATCAAAGTTATTTCTTCTCTGTATTCATTTTGCTTTTATATTTGGAATCCTAAGGTATCAGCACACCCATTGAAGGGAGTAAGGGTTGCACCGATTATTGGAAGTTTTGGTCATGCTACTGGTAGAGGTATCTGTGATACCTCTTTGAAAATCATTACTAATGTCGAGTGTCTCTGTATAATAGAAGAAGCCTGTGCGAAGACGGTACGAATCCTATGGGATGTATTCAGATGATGATGCCAACAGTGATGCATCAAGTGCCTGTTCAGAAAGATCCTACAGCTCCAGGAATGGAAGCATACCAACATACATGAGACAAACAGAAGATGTGGCAGAAGTCTTAAATCGCTGTGCAAGCTCCAACTGGTCCGAGAGAAAAGAAGGTCTTCTCGGTCTTCAAAATTTGTTAAAAAACCAGAGAACTTTAAGGTAAGAAGATTCATCAATGGACAAACATTTTTACTTCAGAGTTGAAGGAAGGCAAAGAAGGTAGGAAAGGAGGCTAAGGGTCTAAAGAATATGGGAGAATGGGGAGAGGGAAAGCAGAGTGTGTGTCTGGGAGAGTAAGCATGGGGAAGGATTGAGGAAACTAGTTTCCATTGTGGCCTCTAGCGTATAGGATCTGTTTAGAAAGCTTAGTTTAACAAATGGACTTCAAGATTGGGTTGTCCTTAAAATGAGAAGAAAATCCCAATTTGTATGGGTAAAGTGGTTGCTTCTAGTGGTGATGGAATGCCTTTCTCAATAGGATATTCATTCAGAAGAAACTGTTCACTACTAGTTACTAAGAAAGTCTTTTTCATGATCTGCTTTATGTTTAGGTAGTCATTAATGGGAATTTAAAGGGAACATTGCTCTGGTTTAATATATGAATTAGTTTAAAGACATGTATCTAGGTTAAAAGTCATATTTTAAACAAATTCCATTACATTTTTATTTTTATACTTATCTTAGACAAAGTGTGCTTTTTCCTAAGATTTTGTAAGATTTTTGCAAGATTATTTTGATTCAGTACTTAGGGTTGATGCCACTGATTGCTATGCATTAGTATACTGACAGTATTAGCAGGAGAATTGACTAATGTATTGTTATCACTTTAACAGTCGCGTTGAATTGAAAAGGTTATGTGAAATCTTCACAAGGATGTTTGCGGATCCTCACAGTAAGGTATGTTTAGGTTCTTCTTACTTTAGTACACGTTTGAAAACGTACGTTAGCAGAAGGCCTATTCCAGTAAAATATGTCGCCCTATTTGCAGGTGTGAAAGTTCCACAAAATGTTTATTCTGTAAACAGTTAATGATTTCAGATTTTGAACAATGTAACTTTCCAGCTTTTTGCGAGTTTATTGAAATTAGGGGAAGGGTAATTTTCCACTGAAGTGTATTAAATTAGTTCTACAGTGTCAGTGTTCAAAATTCCTAAGTGTTTTTTTAAAAAAGCCATAATGTTTATAAAGGTCATGTCAACATGTCTAATGATTTTTTTCACTCGATTAGAAACAAAAAACCCTAACACAATAGTTTAAATCATAAAGAAAGCATTATGAATAAATTGTACATGGTGAATGTGAGGAACTATGCCACGTGTGTATTTACTTTGCAGGGTATGTATTTTTTGTATTGCATATCGTTGATATCTTCCTTCAGTTTCATAGATAAGACTGGCAGTTGAGACTGTTGAATAATTTTTACACAATTGTTAATCTTCAGTAAGTAAGATGGAGAGTATATCACTGCCAGTAATAAAAGCTGTTTTGTTCCTTTTACCTCGGTAAACACCAAGTATGGATGATATGACCACTAGAATAATCTCTTGTTTTTTAAGGCCGTGTTTAATCCTTTTTTTTAAACTGAGTTACCATCTCTTGATTGTATTTTTAAGACTGTTGTGTGGGAGTTGGGTTAGTACTACGACTTCATGTATGTGTATATTACATATTGTAATAATTTTCACGAGCAAAAGGACGACATGTAAATACAGAGCTGAACCAAGTTATCATGGTATTATGTAGAGAACATGTAACTTCATATTTAGTTCAAACAGACAGACATATTTGGAAGAAACCTCAAATTTGTTTTATGTCAGGTATAACATGCCTGCTCTTTGTCCGCATTTCAGAATTGATTAAAAAAATAACCCATCAAAATTTAAAGCAAAGCCGTTATTTCAGAACTATTGGCTTTTCTGCACAGAATTCTCAAAAATGGCTTTGATTAAAAATGTTTAATGTATTGCACGATCTTCCTTATTGCTCTGATTGAAGACTGAATTGAAAGTGATACCAAGTCTTGACAGGTTACCTTAATGTTCTTCTGCCATCATTATTTCTGCTAGAAAAAATGACATAGCTATCTGTGACAGCATGTATTTGGAAGAGATTTGCACACAGGAAAATAGCCTTAAAGTTATTCACAGACTGCAGAAATTCAAAAGAAAAGACAAAGGGAAACAAAAAGAAATCAAAGAAAACATGCCATAGAAAGATGGAACATTTAAGTCAGAGGAGAGAAAAGAAAATTAAATATTGAAATGTTATCATTTTCCAAATCGAGTAATGACAGAATTGCTAATAGCAGCTTTACTTAATTTTGTTTATTCTTGTGTCAGTTAATACTGCACCCATGCATATATCAGTACTACCCTGGAGGTTTTTGTATTTTGTGGAGGGAGGCATACAATGAAAACACTCCGAAATTTAGGTGTGTCACAGGAGCATTTTAACTTTTCATTAAGCATTTATAAATGTTATACTGAATTACTGCATTTCAGTTGATAATTCTTTGTGATTACGGAGTATTCTGACATAAAAGTAATGTTGCTTTGAATTCTAAAATTTGGCCTCTGTTAATGTATGAACAGTACTGTTAGCAGCAGTTCCAGTTGTTGAAAGCTTGCCTACTTCTTGATGTTGCAAAATTTTTTTATATTTCATCAATATATTATCAGGAAAATACTTCAAACTTTAAGTATTAGAGTTGATGAGCTGTGATTTTTGGGTATTTCCTTCCCCACACATGCATTTCTATATTGCTGCACAAATCTCATCTTTTTTTTCCCCCTCCACCCTACCCCAAGTGTTTGTAGGAATTGTTGTCATTGCTTTTGTTTTTTAAAGGTGTTATGTTAACATGATAGCTGGATGCAGGGAATTGACTGGAAAGACAGAGTAATATCATTTGGAGGGGAGCATGGGAAGATGATTTAAAGGACATACCAAGTACTTCTAAAGCAGTTTGGATATCCCAATAAGATTACTAAATTTGTTATAAAAGCTTTGAAATACCTCTTTTGTTTTGTTTCATTTTGTCTTCCATACAGGAACTTTGTATTGATGGCCACTAATTTGTGTGTTTTTATCTTTTTCCCTCTTTTTTGTTTTGTTTTGTTTTTGTTTGTTTGTTGGGTTTTTTTGCATGCTGTCCCCTGTGTTGGAACTCTCTTTAGAGAGTAAGTTGGTTCAATATTTGTTGGAAGCCTAAACTTATTTGCATGAATGTGCAATTAACCCTTTTTCTCTATTTTTCTTCCCCCAAGAGTTCATGCAGTGTCAAGCCTTTTGCAATCATAAAATGCTATATACAGTTATATAAACTGTGTGGTAAAGTTTTGAGATGTGCTTTATCTACTAATTAACTGACATTGTTTGGTTACGCGCTCCTGCTTTATATTGTGGTGGTTGGCACATCTGAAATAATTCACTTTAAAGGTAGATCAGTTATAATTGTTTTCATATCTGTTTATTTTTCCACTATCAAATTATTATAAATTTCAAGTTTAAAAGCTTAATTTCAGAATTTTAAGTTACATCATAAAAATGGAAACTACAAAAACTGTAGAAGCCACGTACATTGTTCAGACTAAAGGTGGTTGAGTTCCATTTTCCATTCCAAATTCATCCTTTATTTTGATGCTCTTACAGCTTTCTTAGATTCTTCATGCTTAGGCTAAGACATAAAGGTACGACTAAAAAGAACCAAAAGCGAACTCGTTTGAGTTCTTTCCAGGCCCTCATTGTGAGAGAGCTAAGATCAGACGAAGCATGCAAACAAAAATTCGGTAATCAGTTATGAATGGTTTTTTGATCAGTTTAAAAGTTTGCATTATTTTTTAACAGCTTAAACTTTGGCACAAGATCTTTGAAGCACTTCTACCATAGTGATTCATAATTCACTTCATAATGATTTCAATTTAAACTACTTTCTATGTTTAAAGCATCATAAGGCATGTACATGATTCCATCAAATATAGTGTAACCAATTTGTTCAGCTTGCAGATCTTAAATGAAAAAGTTTTGTGTATCAAAGTATCTGCAAACTTTAAGAAACAGGCAGTGTTTGTAAACTTACTGACCTGAATAGTTTAATTTCTTAGCCATTTGAGGAATTTTAAATATAATTGTAAGACCTCTAGTGTAATCTTTATCGCACCAGAATTTCTGCTTTTGTTTGCCTGAATTTCAGTATGTTTTCCCCGTGTTTTAGGCCTACAAAACCCAAAGGTGATCGTATTGGAATGCAGAACGTGCTGTGGTTTGGTTTTGCTTAGGTCCTATAATTGTGCCCGTTGCTTGTGCATCCACAAACTGGTATATTGTTTCGGTTTAGCCAAATACAGAAGCCGTTTGCATGCTGAGCATGACAGTTCCCTCCCGCTACTGGGAAGGCAATAATTATATCTCAGGCTACAACAAAAATCTAGAAAAATAGTTGTGGAGGTAGAAAGAAATATTATCATCCATGTATTTTGCACCAAAAGGAAGGTCATTTAAAGTAGTTCATCTTGATGGGCTTTATATTGAGTAAGATTTGTTGTCTTCTGTTTCTAAAACAGCTTTTCAGTGTTTAAAGTTCCTGTGAAAAGGTTCTCTCTGGTCTTGAAGGAATCTGAATTTACTTTTTGATTCTAATGTAAATTTATGAAGCACTTCTTTTTAAGTTAACTGTATGGGTTTTTTTCACTTTGTGGTGTGAATTTCTTACCTTGGCTTGACTATCAACATGAAAAGTTACAGAGGTCTGATTTCCTCGGCCATGAAGGCATGCAGCAGTATGCTCCAGCCCCTTCCAAGTAGATCGGTGTTGTGGAATAAAGTCCACTTTTGTGGTCTGGTTTCTGCAGCCATGCGAGGTGTGGTCACAGTTTGGGATCATCCACTCCAGCAGACAACAGCAGAACTTGGTCTTATGGCTAGCCAGGTCAACTGCAGGAGGATGTGTGGTTCCAGCCCTTCCCTGGCAAGCAGCTATTTCCAGCCTTGTACCTATACCATAAATACTCAGGAGGCTATATGCCCCCAACCTTCTTTAAATCCTAGCAGCAGCTCTACTCCTGTGCCCAGCTATTTGCTGGAGGAAATTGGATATTAAGGCAGCATTTTCAGCCCAAACACCCACGTCCCTTGCCCAAGAAACAGGAACTCCACGGGCCACACTGGTATAGAGCGTATAGATTTTGATTTCACCATGAGTTTTTAAAGTTGTAAAATTAGTGAGAGATACTAAAAAGGCTATTTACTTACTGGTCAATGTTACCAATTTATTGTGCCTTTTCTTACCCTTCCCTCCAAAAAGCCCTTCTTCCTAGCTGAGGTTACTATAAATACATTGATATAGGTGTCTCTCTTTCTTTTTTTTTTTCAGCTGAATAGTGTCTTCAGCATTTTCAGCATTGTTGAAAAGAATACAATGGATAACTAATATGGTTTTGAAATGTATTGTAGCTTCTTTTTTGGCCCTACTCTGGATAATTGAATATTGGGTAATTGAACTGAATAATTTTATTTTTGGATGCCTGCAATAGCAGGAGAATCTTGTTCTGTTTCCCAGATGTTTTTATGGAAAGGAACCGGCCATGCTTCCATGATCTTGCAGTATTTAGTAATGCAGATATTTACAATGAATGTGCTGCTAAAGCAGTGTAGGAACTTCTTCAATTTTAAAGAAAGTGTTTTTGTAGTCATTGTGAGATATGTAAAATTGACTTAATGACTAAGCTTGAAAGAGTAAGAAACTAAGCTTTACTTAATTAAAAAAAAAAAAAAAAAGAGATTGCGCCAGCCATCACAGTAAGCGTTTATTTTCTTGATGATACTGCATGGAATACCTAATTGTCAAACTTCTACAGAAATCAGCTAACATTTCCAATACACTTTTGTATCAGAGTTCAGTGAAAAAGCAAGACAGATATTTCCCTTCCTCCTCCCCTCCTGCCCCCCACCCCCGCTTGGCTGCAAAACACTGCCTTTCTCTGCCTCTGATTCCCTTGCTGCTTTCTTTGTTTGTAACAAAGCACATGTCAATGTCATTTCCTCTTTTGCCCTGTCCTACCCTCTTTCCATCTTCTTCTGCCTTTTAGGTATTCAGCATGTTTTTGGAGACACTAGTGGACTTCATCCAGGTCCATAAGGAAGATCTGCAGGACTGGCTGTTTGTATTGCTGACACAGCTTTTGAAAAAAATGGGTGCGGATTTGCTTGGGTCTGTACAGGCAAAAGTTCAGAAGGCACTTGATGTCACAAGGTAATGAGTTTTTTTTTTTTAAATAATCCAAGTATTTTTTTCATGTGCTGTGAGATTCTTGGAATGATAAACAGCTTATGGCATATAGTGAAGTCTGAGCAAACCTTGCTGCTTAACCCTTTTAGTTTCCTAAATGACTTTTACTTCAAAGAGTTTGAACCCCTAGTAGTGAAAAATTAATAAGATTAATTTTTCTGATTCCAAAATGTGCATCCGAGCCCCATATGCTTAGTGTCTTGCTTTTTGTTTGGTGATACAGTGCTTGTGTTTGAATTTTTTGTGATTTTTATATCAAAGTATTATTGCAATATTCATCTCTTAAGGAAAGGTCAGCTGGATTTAAAGGAGTAAAATGGCAATAAGGGATTTGCTTTCTCTCTTTCCTCTACCTTCCCCACTTCACTAATCCCATTTCCCAAAAGGATGTGCTGTCACAGAGCTGGACCACATCGCTGGCCGACTTTATTGCCAAATGAAAGCCATTTTTTTCTTTTTTCTTTTTCTTTTTTTTTTTAAAGTAGATTTGGAGGGGCTCTGGGACCTACTTCTCATCTTCCCATTCTCTGACATACAAGAAAGTTTACCTGTTCTAGACCTCTGCTGAGCCTGTTCATGTAACAGGTCTGCTGTGAAATCTGGGAAAGGGTATGGTTAGCTTTGGGAGGAGAGAGAGAATATGGTGACCCGCACCTCCTTTTTCTGTCTGCTACAGCAGAAGCCTTGATGGTAAAACGTTGAGTGTGTAATGGCGAGGAGTAAAGGCACAGCGTAACAAGGTAGCCCAGAGAAGCATAATATACTTTATGTATATACTTTAGTAGTACTAGTGCATTATAATTTTTGAATTGTTGGAATTATATACATTTAGAATCAGAATACTGATATGTCATCTGTTATTTCTTGGGTAATGTATTCTAGCTATAATTGGTTGAAAGCAGTAGAATTTTTGAATTCTGTTCCATACTAGCTTAATGTTTCTGAAAATAATATTTAGTGTCCACAAAATTGTTAGACATGTGTTTTCTTCTAGAAGTGATAAAAGCTTCTGTGTACTTGAAAAAAAGGGGAGGGGGGTTATTTAGTCTCTAAACAGGTATCAAAAGTAAATCTCATGTAACTAACATAATTTGCTGGATTTCTTTATTTCACAGGGAATCTTTTCCAAATGATCTTCAGTTCAGTATTTTAATGAGATTTACTGTTGATCAGACCCAAACACCTAGCTTGAAGGTAAGAATTTTCAGAATCGCATTGCAAACAAAATCTTCATTGATAGACATTTTCTAATCTTAATATTTGAATTTGGAGTATTGTTTTTTGTATTGTTTTTAAAAAAGGTTTTCAATTAGTGGATTTTGTTTTTGTAAACTTTCAGACAGTCAAGCCAGCACTACAGGACCAGCTTCGCTCTTTTTGGAGCTCAAAGGTTTTTGTCTGAATTATTGTCTTTATTCTTAACTCTATGTCAAACTTCTACAGTGTTTCCAATAATTTTTATTTGAATGCATTCGTATGCTGTTACTAACCTCTGCAAGAAACTTGAAGCATGCAAATGTTCAGTTTTAAATGTTACACTATTATGAAAGTGTTTGCTGCAAGAGAGATCTAATAAAACCACAGTACAATAAAAATGAGCAACAAAAATATGGCCGCCTAACATCAAGCTGGTTATGCAAACTCACTCTATCAAGTCTTTTCTAATTTTATGTTTGTGATTTCCCAATCCTGTTTTCCTAGTTTGTGGATAATTTTTTCCTGTGTTTAGCCTGATAGGTTTTGAATTCATTTAAATGAAACTGATATTAATATGAACCTCAGTTGTTAATTCAAGATATGCTCCCCTAATGGTGCATTTACTTTTCTGAAAACTGTGTGTGGCTGTATATGTACACATGTTTTTACATGATAAAAAACACTAGTCCATAGACCGGCCACTATGACTTGAAAATACAACTGAATTCTGTAGTACCTTTACAGTTCCAAAAAGAGTTGATTTTGGTATTAATGCAGCAAATCCTAAGATAATTTACAAGCAAGATAAATGGGGAAATAACAAGCATATGATAACTGGCATTTTCTGCTCTGTCCTGCACGAAATATTTTTATATAGCTTGATACTGCACAAGAATATGACTTTTCCCAGATGATGTTGAACCTAAAGTCACATGAATGTGCCTTTTTTTGTCTACAATACAGTAAAACTTACATTTTTAAGCTTTTGAGGACAGTTGATACGTTGACCACTGTTGCTTCGTAGAGCTGTGTTAAAAAGGGACTGCTGTCATTTATTGAAGACAGCAAATGAGGTAGTAAAAATCAGTTTGTTTTTTAAATAAATGCTTGGAACAAATTTGGCTTAGTTTTGGTTTGGTTTGGTTTTCCTCCTTAAAAAGGTGAATTTGGTGGTTGAGACGTTCTTTTTTTCCCCGCATAGTGCTGTAGTTGCTAGACACGGATTGATCTTGCTTTAAAGTTGAGGCTGTCAGTTTGAAAGCAGGTGTGGACTCCTATTAGACTGTGCTGAGGCCAAGGTCAAGAATACTCAGTTTGTGACATAGAAGGAATTAAGAAATCTGAAACACCTGATAAGATACACTGCAAGGTAGTTACAGTGTTTGAGAAAGAATTCTGAAATAAAGATTGCTTGTAAAATCCACCTCCTCGGAAGAACAGTTGCTAGTTTGAAATAAAATCAGGAACATTTCAAATTAAATTTTGGGCCAGTGAAATAAATAGCTATTTAAGAGAAGGTAACCTTTTTTCAGAAAACCACTTTCCAACCCCTACTTCTGCCTTTGCTAAGCGCTTAAAACTTGTGGATCCAGACAGTAAAGTTATTGAAAGTAAATTGCAAAAGTATCTCTTTGGTATCCACATCCTTGAATGTTTTGTCCTAAATCCCATCCTCAGTGCACCCAGATATCTAACAGTTTAATTAAATAATCGTAACAAAGGTACTGCTGCATTTCATGAAGCCTTCAGCTTTTGTTCCTATTCTTGAATAAAAGGTTCTTCTGGTGTAGGGTGTGCTTTTGTGCTAGAGGTACTGGGAAACAGTGTTTCCTCTGTAACAGAAAAAAGAAAGGATTTTCAGCATCCTTAGTGATGGTCAGATGTAAGAAATGATAGTTAATTCCGACATGTGCTCCATGGAAGGATTCCCTACTACTACAGATGACTTTTCCCAGTGGCTTTCTTGTGGTAGTGGTACATAATCGTGCCCTTTGGAGTAAAATGGAGTTCTGGCTGATACGTTTACACGCATAACTATAAGCCTTGAAGAATAAAAGTCAAGCTTTTAGAAGCCACAGGAGTGGATTTGCACAGCTAGCCAGGAAGAGGACTAACTGTAGAGAAGATACGATTCTACTGACCTAATCCATGGAGGATGCACCCCAGTGTATTTTGTACTCCCTTACTTTTTTGTATTATTTTTACATGCATGTGTGGTGAACTACTGAAATGTAGGTTAGAGGTGTCAGACGTATGTACGGAAAAATTAATGAAAGTTTCTAGACAGCCTACAGTCTATTAAGGTGATCTTTGTAGATGTGGAATGTATACTTTCCAGTGGATGGATATAGTCCTGAAAAATACTTTAAAGCATCACTTTCTCTTTTCTCAGGTGGAATACTAGGTGGTGGGTGGGTGAAATCCCATGAGGAACAGATTTAAGCATTGTGACCAAAGCTCATTTGGAATTTCTGAATGCTGCTTTCCTTTGAAAATGCTGATTTATTGAAATCAAAATTTTTTTTGCTGGAGAATGTTAACTATTTTGATGAGAAGATTTTCCTAAGTCCATATTAAAAATGTCTGGGTTTTAAAAAAAAATAATAATAATAATAACCAAAAAAATCCCCCAACAGATTGCTGAAATGATAATGGTTCTCAGAGATGGGAGGCCCTTTTGAAATTAATCTGTAGCGGATATTTTAATCACTTCGTTAAATAGCAGCAGAGATATCACTTCCAAATAGCCAGTAACCCAGGGGTTAAGACAGGCGCTTGGCACGTGATGATCTGAAAGTCACTTTGTGATTGTTTGCATTCAGTCCGAGTAAGGCAGAGCAGGGGCTGGAAGAGAGGCTCTCACATGCCAGGAAAGCGCTGTAAGAGATGGGCTTTTGACTGTTCTAAGTAAAGCAGGTTCTCTGCATTCCTCTCTCCTTGTCCTTTTTCCTGTTACTTGAAATGTTTCTTTCCAGTGCAGCAAATGAAACTTGGTAAATTTACTTTTCACAGGATAGGAAAAGAATTTGCCTTTGGCACTGACTGTAGCATCTTTATAGTGTTTCCTGAATCTCTGGAGATGGAACTGCCCAGGATATTCTTGTGCCAGAATTGATGTCATCTCGTTATCTGTGAAAGATGTTTATGAAACCCTTTAGTTCCATTTCTGTCCATTTCTTTTTCTTTTTCTGTGAGTAATAGTGCTACTTGTAGCTTGCACTGTGTTTCAGCTCACTTAGTAGAGCAGTACTAATACACTGTACAGGAAAGATGTTTACTGTCCCGGTGTTTATAGTCCAACAAAAACGCAATCAATTCAGCCTGAAGAGTGCAAAGAAACATCAAGATGGTATTAAACAACTTCATAGAGAGTGTTTTCAGGTTAACAACAAGCAGTCATGTAAAAGTTCTTGGAGCTGCTTTCATGGCAGTCCAGAGAATTTTATCTCATCTCAGTGAGATAAAATGGGCTATTTAAGAAAGCACTATGTTAGACCTTTTATTTCTACATCTCAACCACTTGTTTGAAATAGTGTCAGAAAAGCATGTGATTGATTTGCTGCTTTCATGGAGTTTACTTCAGGATTTTTTTTTTTTTTAACTCAATAATAATGCTGTCTCATTATATTTGATCAGAGAAAGGTACCCCTTCCAGAATTCCTTTTTCACCCAAGTAGTTCATCAGAAATACCATCTTTCAAAATAACTGCCCAACTTGGCTTTTCAAATAAGGCAGATGCCCAAAACTAACTTGCGAGAAGTCTCTCTGTTTGTCTTCCGTTCGGTGCTCTTCTGTCTCTTGAGAGCCAGCACCTTTCCAGAAGCCTGTGTGAATTTACCCTGTGGGGGGTACCTGAAACACAGAGCAATACTGCTTTCTCAGATAGTATACCTTACAATTTTTGACTGTGAAAAATGCTTCTGGATGTTCTAAGTGTTACAGTTGTTAGTAGTAGTGTTTTTTTTTTTTTTAAGGTGTGTCGTTAAGTACATTTGAAGGGTTGACAGTAATACCAGCAGTGCTGCCCCAATGTAAGGGCTAGTTTCCTGTGGGAAAGGAAGGAACAACGCGCAGTTTTGTTTGGTTATCAAGAGGTGTTACTTTGTTTTTCCTTCCATGTTATGAAGAACCTAGCAAATAGATTTTTAGGTGTGTTTTTGTACCGCCTGTGTTGGTATTGGTTTCTCTAAGACAAAAACCTCTACCTATTGGTTGTCACTTAACTTTGGAAAAGCCCAGCTTTAACAGCTGCTGTGAAAACGTAGTATTAACCTACATGCGTCAGCAACCGCTAATGTCTGTGTGTCCCTCAATATATCTTGCTGAATTTTTAATAGCTTGAAGATTCTGATGACCAAAGGAAATATTTAAATAGCTTTATTCAGAGCAGTTATAGTACAAGCCATGAACAATTAAATACACCAAGAACTTTATTGCTTTGTAGTTATTTGGGACATAGCTCTCTCCCTGATTGGTATTTTTCATTCAATGTAATTATTAGTGGAAACAAACAGCTGAAAAATTAAACTGATTGCCTAAATAAACATTTAGCAGGTTTTTTTTTTTTGATGGGTTGCATGACAATTATCTCTGGGATAAGAGGAACAACTGAGGAGGGGAATGTGTAAGGGAGATATGGGCATAACAACCCTCCTTGTGCTGTGCAGTGATGCAGTTTTGGAGACGCTAGAAGAGAGGCTGCAGTATGGGCCGTATGAAATGCTAGTTCTGCATAAGGAGTAGTGCGAGCTTGTGTGATAGGAGAAGGATGCTCAGATGGATGAGGAAGTAAAGTGTCTTTTCTATACTTCTGGTAAATCTGTGACCCTATCTTCTAAATATCTTCAAAGGAAAAATGTTCATCTGACCCCTTTAAGAAGTTTTTTGTAGAAGTTCCATTCCATACTTTTTAAATACATTCCTTTGGCTTATCCCCAAAGATACTTAGTGTTAAACCCTGTTTTCTGTCATTAAAGGATGCTGAGTGTTAACTGCATAGTCTTTTAATGAGAATTGTTTATTCATGAGATGGCGTCCATTTTCCATTTTGCTACTTGAAGAAAATTCTAAATTCTATACAGTTCTTAAAAATTCTGAATATTCTTAAATATTATGAGTACTTCTGTTTTCTGCTTGATTGCTAGTATGAACTTCTGCATATGCAATGATTTGTGTATCTTTAGTTGTTAGCAGTGAAATCTAAGGTATCTATTAATGAGTTTGTGGGAAAACTTCCTTCTTTCTTGAAGCATTATGTTTATCTGTAAAGTGATTTACTGTTTAGACTTTTATACCAGTGCTGATAAGAACTTTCTCCCAGACAGTCAACTTTTATATTTCCTAAAAGACTTAATAGAAACATTGTAAATTCTTGACTTAGTTAAAACAAATACACAAACACACTTTGAGCACGCTTATTCTCACAACACACCACTTTTATTGTCCATCTGACTCTATTTGTCTTTGCAGGTCAAAGTTGCAATCCTTAAATACATAGAGACTCTTGCACAACAGATGGATCCAGGAGATTTTGTAAATTCAAGTGAAACTAGGTTAGCAGTGTCTCGGATCATCACATGGACCACAGAACCTAAAAGCTCAGATGTTAGGAAGGTATGTTTATTCATTTGTGTTTACAGTTGAAGCATATTCCAACTAGCTTTTGAAATTAAACAAGCTATTGATATTTCTTGGGTAAAATGGAAAAAAAAAATTTTCTTTAAAAACTTACTCTTTCGTAAGCCAAACATACTTTTTTATCCTTCTCTGCAAAGATAAATAATACTTCTGTATGAAGTATCAAAATTGAATAAGTTACTTTCCTAAAAATAGTGTTTGAAAACATTTAAGTAAAATATAATTAGCTTGAAAATCTCCATCAAGGTTGTGTTTTCATAATATATTTATGTATTACAAAGTAATTTTTTTCATAATACGGGGACTAACTTTATTTCAAGGAGTGTCTGGTATTACATTTTTTTCAGTAGACATTTCCTATACAGATTTAAAATTTCTTACTGAATAGCCTCTCTAATACTAATAACACGTCCATAACAGGAATGGTGAGTGTGATAGCAAACTTGCAGTTCAGTCTCAGTTGGTCTCTTAATTAAAAAAAGTATTTTTTGTTTAACAAAAGGATTGAATAACTTTAGCTGGTACCAAAGGCAGTATCAAAGAATTGTTCTTGAAATGCTACAGTTCCACTGCGAAACTCCTTTTTCTACAGGCTTCTTGGGAAGTGAAAATTAATGTTTGTGAGGTATTCAGATAGGCTAGGGATACAGAGGAACTGTGAGAAATGCGCTAATGCAATTTTCAGAAAGATTATAAATAGTCCCTGTAAATACAGATAGCAGAAGTCTGAATTTTATTTTCAGTTTGATGAAATAGTGATTAGTGATTTTTGTTCTTCTCATCCTGTCTTAGCTGCCGTTATTGGTATGTTCACGCTTTTTGAACGTCATATAAAAGTATTTAGTTTATGGCTTACAAAGTAGAAGTATCTGTGACAAAGAACCAGTGCTTTCATACCTTTTTCGGGTTTATTTCTGCAACTGAAGAGACAGACCCACTGATTTCTTTTGATTGCCTTTGCAAGATTCAGTCCAGCTTGAATTTTGGCAACTTTATCATTTCTGGAAACAGTCCTAAAAATTCCTTTCTTTAGGAGGGATGTTTTGCTGGAGAGAATTGATACAAATTGTAGTTTGAGTTGTCTCACAACACATGTAGTACGAAGAGAAAAACAAAAATCACTTTCACTACTACTTCATATCTTGAATGTTTGTAATAATTTGATATAGGAAAGTTTATATTTGAGATTTTTTGTTTTAATTTTCATTTCTAATACAACACATAAGTATAGGAAAGCAGTAATGTGATTATGGACTTGTTTTGCCTGGTTACTGTGTTCCAGTGATATATATAAAACCTTAAAAAAGGAAGGGAATTGAAGCAGCACTATCTTATAAATCAGAAAAGTTTTAGTAGCAAGACACGTGGCAAGCTGTCTTATCTGATGGCTCATATCTCTAATAAGCATTTTTACGTCAATAAGTAACTGAATCATGGAAAGAATTGCCAATGAGTTTTATCATCTGGAACACCTTAATTTTATGAAGTTTTCTTGTTTTATTTTTTCTTTCCATAACAGAGCAGTTGCAAGTAGCTAACTACCAAAAGATTTTAATAACTCTTGAAAATAAAATTTTACCAATGAATAGTCAATAGAGTTATTCGGGTTATATAAAACGATTCATCCTCTAAGAGGTTATAAGATGCTATCACATATTAAAATTCAAAAACTTGCTGAAAATATAAGCTTACAGCATTTTAGCTTCTTTAAATTTAGACTTTATGCCAGCTGTATTTGTGTGTGCCAATGGTGTATGTTTTCAGTAAGAACATTTCTAGCACTGAGTGTTAGGAAAAATCCTAACAGCCTTAAAGAGGGCATTCTTAGTGTAGATCAGTGACATGAGACTTCTTTCTGGAGGGTAAAATTCAATGTTTCAGGATTTCAGATTCTTCTGAGAACAAAGACCCAAACAAGTATTTCTAACCCTTACTGTTGATCTTTACAGATGTAACCTGTGTGACTGAACATAAACCAAAGTAGTGTGGCTAGCTGCAGAAAAGATGATGCTTATGAACGGGGCTTCAATTTCCAGAGAGCTTATTTTGAAGTCAAATAATAACACCAGATGTTTTAAGACACAACTTTTTTCAAGTATGATAGAAAACAGGCAGTTGCATAGGCTTCTGTGGGTCAACTTCAATTTTAATACCGTAAGCGGACCCTCATTTTGGGCAGACCTGATGGTATCGTTTTCTTTCTTGTTATGACCTTCGACCGTCTATTTTGTTATTTTATAAGCAGGTTAAACAGGCAAGGTGTTATGGAATGGAGATGCAGATAGCAAGAAAGAAAAAGGAAAGTGGTGACTTCAAGCCTTTGTTTGGTTGTGGATTTTGCTTTTTACCAATTTCTGTTAAAGACTGACTATAAGAAAAAACAAGGAAAAGGGAAACATTGAAGGCAGGGGCATAGAGGGCATTCAAGGTATTTACTTGAAGAGAAAAGACCATCAGCGAGAGGAGAGCATAAGCGTTTGAGAAAACAGCCGATCACCAGTATGCGAAGATGATTTGTAGCAATCTAATGTGTTAGTATTTTCTTCATTAAACTTAATACTAAGATGTGTGCTGGTATGTGTGCTCATACCTTGGCTTTCCACTTTTAATTAAAAAATGCTACAGTTCATTGCTCTGGAAGCAAAAGGAGGGAAATGAATGTCTAAAAGCATTTTCTAAACTACTTGCTTGATGTATTTTGATCCTTAAACAAGCTGCCTATCATTCACTCTAGCATTAGGCACTGGTTCTCTCCAGTGCATGGCAGACCTTGATGGTGAGCTGCTTTTATGGAAACTACACATAGTTGGTTAATCTTAGAGTTTCATACTAAAAAGAAATTATTGAGCAATTCTGGACAACTTAATCTCTAGCTTTTCATTAACATGTGATAGGTTTGCTGCCATGTTGACAGGTTTGTTAGCCTGTCCGGTTGGTTATTCATTAAATTATATGAATGTTAGGAAGTCAGGCAGTCAACGTTCCTTTACCAGAGGGAGCCCTAGAGGAAGCCCACCACTGCGTGGCTTGCTCTGTTCCTTCTGGCAGTAAAGATCTGTCATTTTTCATTCAGACCACGAACAAATACTGTAAAACATACTTAGGATGAGTATAACCTTAAAGATAAAATATTAAAATCTGAGTGGGGGGAGGGGTGTAATCCAATAGACTATACACTCTAATACTTACCAGTTTTCATCTTTAAAGTATGTTGCAGTCAACTACTTTCTTCCTCATGTTTGCCTGTCCTTTAAAGATAAAGGAAGCTGTGGGGAAAAAGGTTTAACTAGTTTGCCTATAGGATAAGTTATAAAATATTTTAAGTCCTGCGATTGCAACTGAAAATCAAGATCATCTCATTCCAATTTCAGAGATCTCTCTCCCCCCGTGTCTGTCTGTCTGTCTGTCTCTCTCTCTCTCTCTCTCTCTCTTTTTTTCTCTCTCCCTCCCTCCCTCCCTCCTTTTTTTTTCTTTTCTTTAAATTTCTAAAATGATAACTTTCTTTTCAGGCTGGTCTGCTGGTTATTTACTACCTGTCTTGCCACTCATTGAAATCAGGAGAAGAAATTGCAGGCTTGCTCATGCTTTGTGTGTTCTTCTAGACATGGAATTCTTCTCTCTGTAAATTACTTTTGTCCAACTTCCCAACGCCTCTAAAAGTCTTTTTGCCACTTTCTTCAGTGCTTCAGTTAGTAAGCAGGGCTTCTGCAGGGGGCAAAAATGTTTGAGGAGTGCACTTCTGGAAGGCTGCTTTTTTGGACAATGGTGCAAAGTAAAAGCTCATTGTTATTGTGCTTGGAGTTATCAATATTTGAACTTCCAGCTTATCAGCAAATACAAATTGCTTTTGTTCTCACTGCTAACATCTTTATTCTTCGAATTTGATCAATACTTTTGTCACCTTTTGTGATAAGCCCTTACTATAGAATCTTTTGCTAATTAAAAATTACTTAAGAAACTCGAACTAATAGCTGTGGTCTGTATTCTTTTCCTGTAGGCTGCACAGTCAGTGCTGATTTCCCTTTTTGAACTCAATACCCCAGAGTTTACAATGCTGTTGGGTGCTTTACCAAAAACATTTCAGGATGGAGCCACAAAGCTTCTCCACAATCATCTGCGGAACACAGGCAACAGTGGTCAGGTATTTACACCTCTCGTTATTCTTTCTGAAGTTACTGCTTTTTTTCCGACTTTACTGCATTTCGGTAGTTATTTGTGAGAGGGAGGAAATGGGAGGGGGCAGGGCTCAAAACGTGGGCAGAACGCTGTCTTAATAATAGCAGATATTGCTCTTTATGGAATACCCTCATCTCTTTTTTTCCTCCAAAGGTTGATGGTTTTGTTTCAGTATGTGTTGCTTTCAAGTGAAGTGACTCATCAAGTTTGAATGTGCTTTTTGAGAGTAGTTTATCTTGTACTTCCATCAGGTATAACTTTGTAATGACTGAAGTTATTGGTAACTGGTTAGCCAGTCTTGGAAGTTAAATAGAACTTGTTTAAACGTTTCTGGGTGCTGGAGAATAAATAGAATAATAAGTTCAAAGGGAAGCTGGCGTCCTACTGGAGTATCTTTTCTTCTTCTCCAGGGATCCATGGGAAGTCCTTTAACAAGACCTACTCCGCGTTCACCAGCCAGTTGGTCGAGTCCCCTCACTTCTCCCACCAACACCTCACAGAACACTTTGTCACCAAGGTAACATAAGTCTGTAGTGTAATTTTCTGCATCTAGGGCTTCATTAAGTGTTACCCAAAATTGTAACCCCAACTGTGAAAGCATGGAAAGAATTTCACAGAAAAGTGCCAGGTACTGAAAAATTACCTCCTCCCTCCACAGAATGACAGCACACTGCACTGCTTAGGTGCAGTGAGCTGCTTAGCCCCCTTTGAAGGATCTGCCCTGAGGTGGGAAAGGCCTGCGCACTTAGGAGTGCGAATGGGATAGCGAGAGAAGGAAGGGAAGTGCTCATGAAGAAGGTTCTCTTTCTGTCTCTAGTAAATGTTAGAGTAGCCCAGTTAGGTCATTAAATGATACCTTGATTTTAGGGAGACTAAAAAGGAAGAAGTTCACAAATGTTCCCCTCCTCAATTTTGTGGTACCAATTTTGCCAGTTAAGTGGATTTTTTTAATTTTAGCAATCAACTTAATGTGAAAACTGATGAATTGATTTTATTACTTCAGTACTTTTTTTTTTTGAAAGAGAGAACGGTATACAGTTTCTAGTTGTTTCATATTTGTTAGAGTAAAACAAGTTTGTTTCTTCAGGCAGATGCTGCTAGATAATGCAACTCTTCATTATCTAGCCAGTCTTAGTGCTTTCTCTGTCACCAGCAGTACATTTAAACAACAACAAAATATACTATGCTTAATATGGCACACCTTTAGTATGTGGACAGCCAGCTCTCCTCTTCACCATACTTCAAAAAATAATAATAATTTCATTAATATTTCCTGAGTCTCTGTTGTTCCGAGTTAATGTTAATTAAATTCAAAAATTAAAAAATAATCCAAAATGTAAAAAAGAAATCCTTTTTAATTCCCATGTCCTATCTGTGGCCCACAGTGCATTTGACTATGACACAGAAAATATGAATTCTGAAGATATTTATAGTTCTCTTCGTGGAGTCACTGAAGCCATTCAGAATTTCAGTTTTCGTAGTCAAGAAGATATGAATGAGCCTGTGAAACGAGATTCCAAAAAAGATGATGGTGATTCGGTGAGTATTTAAACTCGATGCATCTTGGTCTCAGCAAACCAAGCCAAAACCTGATTTATTACACATAAAGCATCATTTTAAATAGGTTTATGTATTATGATTTCTGAACTGGGACATCTCTCCTAAATCACTTCAGAGCTTTAGAAAAATACATTTGTAGTCTGAAAGCACACTTTGGAAATGTAGATGCTAATTACCAGTAGTATTAGCTGTTGATTTATTTAAAATACTAGCAATTTTATAAATGGATTATCTTGTAAATCAGCTGGGTTTCTGTTTTCATTTGAGAGGTCTACACCCTACTACACATTTTTCTAAAGTCTTCTGGCTCATTCCATACAAAACCTACAGGTTTTTCAGTGCTACAATGCAGTGTTTTAAACTTCTCTGTCTATGGAACTTGGCCTTTCACATGTGTTGAGCTTGCCAAATACTTATATGCTTAAACACGGTTTTAATTGATTGGCATCAAGCTTCTGAGTTAAATAGAGACAGCTGTTCCTACTTTGTGATCTTTCGGGTTTTTTGGATTATGTACACCTCTTTTTAAAGGAAAGCTAAGTATTTTAAGTGTTAGGGAACAGTTACTAAGACGTCTTGTCTGAAGAGCCAACTTGAAAAAGTTAATTAGGAAATGTTTAGGAAACTTTTTGAAACTTTTAACTTGTTGCTATGTAGATGAAGTAGAGATGCAGTGAATTGAAAAGTGCAGTATGTTCTTTATATTTTGTGTGATATTTCTTTTCCTGCAGATTTGCAGTGCATCTGGAATAGTGGACTTGCGAGCAGGAAGTGGTGTTAGTGATACAGGCCGAACAGCGCTCGATAACAAAACGTCTTTACTAAATACAATGCCTCCCCACTCTTCGCCACGTTCACGGGATTATAACCCGTACAACTATTCAGATAGTATCAGTTCATTTAATAAATCTGCTTTGAAAGAAGCCATGTTTGATGACGATGCAGAGCAATTTCCTGATGGTAAGCTTCAGATTGCATTCTTTGCTAGAAGGAAAACGGTGAGACTTACCATATTTTAGCCCAGTGTCTGAATTCATCACTAGCTGTAAATGTAAAAGCCTCTGAAAGAGGCAGCACAGCTGTTAGTTTAGTTTGTTAGTAATTCTGCTGAGTGACATTGTGAGATTACTTGGCCTTTGTAGAGATGAGGGGAAAAATGAGTTAATTACTAAATTACATAGTATTCTTCTGATAGCATGTTCTACAGCAGAATTGTCAACATACATTTAACTACCAGATTGTTTTTTTGATTGGAGGGGGGATTTATACCAAGGAAATAAAACTGGATCAAACCAGTTTTGGAATTTGGTGAAAGATTAAATATTTTGTTAGTAATATATTTGTATTTGAAACATGACATTGGTATTTTCTATTGACTAAACATTCTTTTCAAAAAAACAACCTTTACCAGGAAGGTGGCTCATTTAGCCTCTAAAAACTTAGGTTGTTGTTTTGTAGGCATCTAAGGCTTCTTTTTAGTATTTCCTAGTATGTTTCTGCATGTATTTCTTCTAGCTAAATGTTGGACAGACGGGTTGAGTAATCATGCTTTGGAAAAGTAGCAGGTGTTTCTGACGATCTGGTATACCTTCTCTGGTTAATATTTCATATTCAACTATAGATTAAACTCAGTTTATAATTAGACTAAGTTCTTAATGGTGATTGGTAAATGGATTTTCCTCTTTTCTATTTTAGTTTTTCCTGTGCCATTAAGCAATGAAGTGTTACAGGAACTTTTGAAAAACAAAGCTGTTTTCTAATATCTTAATTTGAAAATTACCACTTACTCAACAGTTAATTCATTCTTTTTTTAATTTACTTTGGAGCTATTTCTGAGGGCCATTTATATAACAGCAGTTATGCCTAAGAAAGATTAATTTGCCTTGAGTGTGAACAATTACACAAATGTAATTTGATGATTTAAAGAGTCTGTATGTTTTGTTAATGTTCGGTTATGAACCACATTCTGAGATTCTCATGTCTCTCTGGGATGTAAAAATCTGTAATTGCTCAATTTATATTCAGTTTATATTTACCCTGTGCTTGTGTACGTTATTGACTGCTAACTGCTATTGTCTGAAAATCTTAAATTTTATTTCTTCATGCCAAAGTTATCTTGGATTTTTAAATATTTAGAAAACCTTCTGTGAACAGCTCTTTTACTGTGTATATTCTGTGGCCTTCACTCTCGTGCAAGTTCCATTTCCAGTTTAGGTTAAAATGCAGCGATTAATGGCAGAGAACCTATTTTCTAGTCTGTCTCAAGCTTATCAAACATCCTTACGTAAGAATATGTGCTAGTTAACAGAAGGATGGGTTTTTTGTTTTTGTTTGTTTGCAAGTCCCACAGAATACCAAAGAACCCATGCTCTGCCAGGGTGTTCTGGTTTAGTAAAAGCTCAAGGCTGACTGGGGTGAAGCATCCCAGTCCAGTAGTGGTTTGTATTTACTGAAGTAGTAATGAGATGTATTACTTAGGTCTGCTCTTCAGTGGGTTTTAACAAAATACTTTTATTCCTGTGTGCACTCTTAGTTTTACTGTGTACATTATGTAATTGTTGTATTAGTTGTAGAGCTTTAGCTGGGATAATTTTAAAAAAACTTGGCATGAAAAATGATATACTTGGCAAAACACTTTGTGTATACGCTTCCTTACTAAGGAATTGCATACTTTTTCCATAAACCTGATGGACTAGAGGCACCTCAACGCTATGTAGTCTGTCATAGCTGACCTTAGGGGCTGGTAAAATTAATATATGCATTAGGGCTGAGAAGAGTGCTGCCTAGCTGCTTTGGAGTCACCAGCCTTCCTAGAATGAGTGGCACCATTGGAAAAAGTAAAGAAAAGGTGGATTGGAGGAAGGCATTTCAACCTTGCTCTCATGTCTACTCTTCAACAGCTTGGCCAGAAGTCCCATTTGTACTGGATTCCCAGCTATCTTTTCATCTGTTACTGGTAGAAAGATGTAGAAATACAGGGCTAGTTGGGAAGACCTTAGCTGGTCATTTAGTCCAACCGGCAGCACTGAGGCATGAAAATGTGTTCTGCAGACATTTTTTGGTGGTTAAAAATCTGCAGTGGAGGAGATGCCACGATGTACCTGAAATGGCTACTTGAGTGTTTTGCCTCACTTAACAGTAAAAAGATTTTCATAGCAGCAGCTTAGATCTTTTAATCGCGACCCCTTTTTTTCTAGTGGAGGTGTCCTTTATCTGAAGAATAAGGGAACATGCCTTGCTAAGTCACTTTTCAGACTCCTTAAAAGCAGCCCACAGCCTCTGGTTAAAAATGGGTATTCCTCTCTCAGCAAACTCATTTATTTCAGCCTTTTTTCATAGATTGTTTTCCAAACATCATCATCTTTAACTGACACTTTGTATCTGGGCTTAAGGTTTCTGCTTCTGTCTCTTGCCTTACACATGCCTTGTCATTGTTGACTTTTTCATTTTTTTATTTCAAACCATTCCTCTAATTTATCAAGATCCTTTTGAATTCTTATCCTGTTCTCCACAACATTTGCAACTGCTCTTAAATTGATTTCCTTTGTAGATTCTGTATATGCTCTCCGTATTTTGTTGATATCATTAACAAAAGCATCAAACAGAACCAGGCCCAGGACAGTCCGAGCAGGGACATCACATATATCCTCTTAGATTAATAGGAAACTATAATACAGTCACTATTTGCAAATGATTCATCAGGGTTTGCGTCTGATCTGTTGACTTTTTTCAGCCATGTTTCCTTAGTTTCTGTATTGAAAACCTATGTGTGACAATGGCAAAATCGTTATTATAAAGTCAAGATATACCTTCGTTTTTCCTTTTAACCCTTGTATCAGATATCCTGTCAAAGGATAATACTAGCGTTGGAACAGGTTGCCCAGAGAGGTTGTGGAGTCTCTATTCTTGGAGATATTCAAAGGCACAATTCTGGGCAACCTGCTCTAGGTGACCCTGCCTGAGCAGGGGGGTTGGACTAGATGATCTCCAGAAGGGCCTTCCAAGCTCAACTGTTCTGTGATTCTGTGACTGGTTTGAGAAGAGATGTTTCTTGTCAAATGCTTGCTATATATTTATCGCATTCAAAGGCAGGAGTTGCATCCGCTCCTTCTTGTTGGTGTTTTATGTTCTCTTTCTGAAAGAGAAACACGGGTACTTTGAATACAGCTTCTTTTACAGTGGGTGCTACGAAGGAGTGGAAAACGGGCCGTGAAAGCGCCCTCACTTGATTGTCTCCATGTTTTTCAGGAATTGCAACTATTTCCTCAGCCAACAGACCTTCTTTCCTCCCCCTTATCCCTGCATAGACATGGCTCCTCTCCTTTCCCTTTCCCCTAATATGTTCAAATTGCCACTTCCTTCATTCTGATGTTTCTACAGGGAGAATAACGTCAGGCAGATCTGGTTTGCTTTGCTAATTATATGTCAATATATTTTCCTCAAAATAGGTTTCACTATAGTTGTAGTCCTCATAGGTTGTTAGCACTAGTAGAATGGTTGCAGTAATAAAAGTAATGATCTTGCTTCTTTGAAACAGGTTGTCCATTCTGCTCATCTGTACTAATTAATAACTCACATAATGCAGTTGCAGAATGCAATTTCAGTGTGTCCTTTAGGCAAACATTAATGATCCATTTAGGGAATTTGCAAAGCATGCATTAATATAGAGGCAATAGAAGTGCTTGCAGAAAAAAATGTTTCTGCTTTCAGGTGTTTGTGTTCTTGATTAATCATCCAAAACAGAGTGCAAATAGAAACACTGGGTACAAAACAGTGACTTTTTTTTTTCTTTTTTAAGATACTTGCAATGTGGTAGGTATTTTCCAGAGACAGTAGAAGCTTCTGAATTCAGCTTTTATTAGTTTATGCTTTGTATGGCATTTATAATTTACGGTATTGAATACAGTAATAATGTGCAAGGGCTGTGCTTTCTCAGTATATGACATCATAAATTTGTTACGGAAAAGATATTTCTTGTATATTAATAAAAGGAAATAATTTTAGGAAAAAGGTACAGATATGGTAACATTTGAGTTCTATTACTGTTTGCCCTCTTAAAGAAAATTTTTGTCAATACTTTTGACCTTTTTCCAGAAAAACTACTGTGTTCCTGTTAATTTATCCAGCGTCTTAATGCAAAGGTGGAAGCTATATGTTTTTCTTTCTTAAAGGCTGAAATGGTCTAGGTGATGGAATAAAGGCAACAACTTGATATTTAATTCTCTTTTAACTGGTTTTAAGTTTGCGAGTTTGCAGATCTCCCTGTTTGCAGGCCAGTGTTTACAAATATGGTCTTGTTACTGATGCTTTTTTCATCATCATGGGATCCTCTTTGTAGCTGAAATGTAACAAAATAAACCCTCCAGACCTGTCTTGTAATGACTGTTGCCAGGATAACAGTCCTTCTGTGGAAGGGCTTAACTGGCTTTGGTTCGCTTCTACTTCAGCTCTTTTGTACCAAACACCACTCTTCTGTTTATGTTAAAAGTGTGGATAACACTGTGGAAACATAGCTTACAAAATTCTAAGCAAGTCTGTCATATTAAAGGAGAAGACACAAATCTCTCTTCTTGCGTGGTAGGTACATATGCTTTAGGTGTAGATCAGATTTTAAAGGATTCAGAGAACCTATCACTTCTGAGTACTAAAAGAGCAAAATTTAAAACAGTTTAAGTTTTTTTTTGCAGTATCTCTTTTTGTGTGTGTGTTTTTTTTTTTTTTGTTCTCATGAGCTTTTTCAGGAGTGTTGACTGCATTGAAAACGTAGTAGTGAAATAATTTTTGTAGAGAAATTTGGGGAAAAATAAAAGCAGGTCAATTTTAAGGCCAGCCATCCTAGAAAGTATCTTTGAGTTATAGAGAAGATGCTCATATTCACAAACCAAGGATTATTTTGTTTATTCCTTTTCAATAGAGCCTCCCATGGACCATTCTGATCTGGTTGCAGAGTTACTGAAAGAATTATCAAACCATAATGAGAGAGTTGAAGAAAGAAAAGCTGCCCTGTATGAGCTCATGAAATTAACTCAAGAAGAGTCTTTCGGTGTTTGGGATGAGCATTTCAAAACAATACTACTGCTGCTGCTTGAAACACTTGGAGACAAAGAGGTAAATTCAGATTCATCCAATTAAGAATGCTAACAAAGCACAAGGCTTACTTTCAGCATCTTTGAAGTTTATATGGGTAGGAGGGGCAGGGTGGAGTTTGTCGGGAGGGCACAGATCTCAGCTAGCCTTGAAAAACAAAAACCTTCTTATGGCAATTGACAAATGGAAGTAATGAAAACATCATGAAGCCTGAATGCGCCCCCGGTGTGAAAAGTATCAGCAGTACTTACCATCTCAAGCAGTATTTGTTGATTCCCATATGATAAATTACAAGAAATATTTTTCACTGGGATACAGAGCTTACCCACTGAGAGCCCCTAGTAGACTTGAAATACTGAAACATCATGTATGGGGAAAGCATTTAAAAATGAGAGGTTTCTAAAGTGCAGTAATGATCATGGGAGAGACCCTTCTAGTTCAATATAATTATATTCTGTAACGACCATGTTTTTTAAAATACTGAGGTTTAAATGATACTAATACCTCTTTCTTGCTTTGAAAAATTTCTCATCATTGTTTTGAAAAATAATGATGTGTGGCGTTGATGCTAAAGGTTTTATCAAGCTCTTAAGTAAAATTTTATGCGACTCTGTAACTTTTGGTAGTATAGATAACTCAGGTTGGTGAGATGTTTATGATACACTGCCTGAATTATTTGCAGAAAGAAAGAGAGCAGGGTGAGCCACTGAAGATTTTTTTTTCCAGCTGTATTTATTACATTCGGTTCATACTGAATATACAGACAAAGCGTAGTCTAATTAGTGTTTTTCTATTATCAAAGACTTCTCCAACTGCCAAATAATTGATAAAATACGTCTATTTAAAGATACATAACTCACTTTAAATATTTAATCTTTAGCATGCAATCAGAGCTTTGGCATTGAAAGTTCTAAGGGAAATTCTGAGAAACCAGCCAGCGAGGTTTAAAAATTACGCAGAACTCACAATCATGAAGACATTAGAAGCCCATAAGGATCCTCATAAAGAGGTTAGTAGTTATTTATTCTGCTTAAAGTTATGACAAAATATTTCAGAATGAAACAGCTGTGTTAGGTAGAGAAAGTGTTTGAGAAATCAGTCAGATCTTACTAAGGAAGTCGTTTGTTTAATAATCAATATTTGGGCGTTATTAGTTAATAAAGGTATGTAAGACCAAAAAAATGCAGTTTTATAAGCCCTGCGGTACTTTATATCACGCTAATAAAAATTGTCTTGGTTGTGGTCCAAAGAGGATATAGAGCAGTACCCAGTTACGTGTCAATATAGCACATCAAGGAGGAGCAGCTGGAGGCAGATTTTTTTTTCCTGTATGACATCTTAAGCCAATTGTTCGTATCCTGGAGCTCTAACGCAAATTTTGGGATTTCATCCCTAAAGGGAACGGAACATGGCAAAGAAATATTAGCCCTTTCGCTTTCCATTTTCAACCAGCTCTGCACCGTTAGAGAGCCTGGCTTTGAACATTGATAGGAGCGAAAACACAGGAAGATAAAAAAAAAAAAAAAAGGGAAGAGAGTTGGCTGTGAGCCAAGAATAGTGAGGGAATTCAGAAACAGATGACATATAGTTGCATTATAGCTATACTCTTGCTCAGAAACACTTATTTTGAGTATAGTGTACACATGCATGACAAAGCATAATGCACTGGTACACGTTAGAAACATGAATACAGTAACCACCCAGACATTAAGTGGTCCACATAAGTATCACTGATGTTACTCAAAAAAAAAAATCTAGGTTTTAATATTAAACCAGTATAGCCTCTTCTCCCCCTGCACCCAATTCAAGGATGTGTACTCTGTGTGGAACTTACTGTGGATTTGCAGGTTTTGAAGTTTGACTGCAGTTCTTCCCATACCAATAGCTTTTCTCACTCTTCTGATATTCATTTTCCCTGCCTCATCCTCTAAATTTATTTCATGTACTGGATTTATGAAAGTGTCTTCTCTCCATCTCGTTTCCTTGCTTTTTCTCTCATTTTTCTATGTATGAGTGAAAGCAAAGGGGACAAGGATGGAGAGAAACAGTTTAGGAAGCTCTTTCTCTTCAGCCCTCCCGAGCACAATGGTAAGAGAACGAATGCCTTAGTGTACTCATTTCTTGCCCAGAAATAGTCACAAAAGGATGAGGGTGAATTCTCATTCTGAGCAAATCCAAAGCAGAATTTCCTGATACATCATTGATCCAGCTGTTTGTCATGGTAGCTGGCAAACACCACATCTGCACAAACATGCAGATCAGATATGAATTTTGTCAGTTGTACCCATCCTATATCCTGAGCTTCTGTACCTTTTGGCTTCCTAACTAATTACTCTTGTTTTACTGTATTCTGCAGGCTTAAAGAACTTTGTCATGGTAGTTTCTTTCCAACTTAAAGGTGAGGGGAACAGCTAGACTAACTTATTGAAATAGCGGTTTAGGCATGTCGTTGAACAGTGTTTGAAATGAATATGCAAACATATCGTCAGTGATCAAAGACCTGACAATAATGAGCAAAAGCAATAATGAGTCGTAACACAAGAAAGTATAGATTAAAAACGCTGGTGATGTTTCAACAAGTAGTTGAAGGTTGTTGCAGAATAAAGAAGAGATTTCAGATCTGATTCAACAGTCATTGTCAGGCAGATTTGGGGAGTGTTGGTACCTCTATTGCCCAGTACACGTATTAGTCATAGAATACTGAAAACAGCCTTGTTTCTAGAAAAGCGTTATGTCTGATAGTTGGTACCTTGCATACAGATTTTCAAAAGTCTCTTGAATTCATGTGCTCTTAAGTATTGTAGATGTGTTGAGAGGAGAGGGGACCATAGTTTTTTCCCCAAAAAACCATTATTGCCAGAACACTGAGCATAGCAACTCTCTCACAATTCATTTTTCTATGTCTTTACTTATTCTTTCAACAGGTGGTGAGATCTGCCGAAGAAGCTGCTTCCATGCTGGCCACTTCCATTAGCCCGGATCAGTGCATCAAAGTTCTTTGTCCAATTATCCAAACTGCAGATTACCCCATTAATCTGGCTGCAATCAAAATGCAGACAAAAGTCATAGAAAGAGTATCTAAAGAAACCCTTACTCAGCTTTTACCCGAAATTGTGCCAGGTCTAATACAGGTAAAAAATGGAACACAACATATGTCAGGATTGTGAAGTTTTTTTAAAATAATATCATTTGGCTCTCATAAAGGATTTCTTTGTCTAATAGGTGCTTGTGGCTTTGGCCCAAAATAACTCAGATATTGGAAACAGTATCTAGTCTAGTAGCTAAATAGTAAGTGTGGTAAGAAATCAAAGGAGATCTAGGTAGAATATAAAAGTACTGGCTGTAGCTAAGCTCTGTAGATACTTTCAGTTGTAAGATACAGTTTTCTGTTGTTTGTAACTTCTCCAAGTTCTAATCATTTGGTCTGAAATTGTCCATGCTGTATGTGTGTCTAATTCTAGATTTATTTTTTGTTTGATCTTCTGGGGAGGCAAGAAGAAAGGATGGGAGGAGCTTAATTTAAAAAAAAAAAAAAGAGAGAGAGAGAGAAGGGGATCAGAAGTTTTTATGTCCACGCTATTAAGAGCTAAGATACATTAATCTACACATAATTGATAGGGACTTTTCAGAGTTTGGCAGATTAATTCTGTAGATGTTCTGTCTTTAATGGATGTGGTCCTATCGCACATCTGTTGGAAGGCTGAGGTGGAGCAGGGGCCTTTGGGGACAGGCCTTTAAGGAGGGACTGAAAGGGAGAGAGCTAAGAGTGACCTACTAGGAAGGTGGTAATA